CTCCATCATCCTCAGCCAGCAGTCAGATCAGATGATTAAGCTAAGTTGCTAGTGGAACTTGATGAATTCTAGATAGAGATGGTTGTGGACTTACAAGCTGCGGTTGCCACTAGAGCTTATTGAGAGGGGGGCCGACATGGAGCACGAGTGGACTGCACTTGCTGCTTATTGGCCGGTGGTTAGGATTTTATTGATGTTGGCCATTGGATTTCATCTTTTGACATGTTTACTTTTAGAAAGATGACAGATTCAACACCATGTGTGTCTCACATTATGGTGCACTTATTTAGGCGTCTTTATCTCATAGCACAATAGGATTGATAACATACTAATTATGATACGAAAGGCATATAAAGAGCTTAAATCTTATAATATAATATATTATCATATTAAAAAATAATATTTTATTATTTCTTTGAGTATTTATAAAGTTTAATATTTTAGAAAAAAATTTGAAATTTTTCTCTGAGTTTTACAGTCGTAATTGATTTTTTTATTAATATGAGAGAATTTTAGAAATTTTTGATATCTTTTTATGGTTTTTAAGAAACTGATATATATTTCGACGAACGAGATCTGATCTATGGAGATGAGGTGATAGAATCAAGGGTTGAGATGCTAACACGTGGCATCATCAAATGAGGAGATCAGAAGTCGTCAAGAATGTCCACATAATTAATAGCAAACAGAGCATACTTACCGAGGGTGCAGCAGATCACAATATTTAAGAAGATCCTACAGCTACGACAAGACTTCCAAATCCAACAATTTAAATCAAATCGAGAAGAAATGACTCTCACCTAATCTTATCATGGCCAAAAAGATAGGAATACCTTCATTTAATCACAACTTTGCATGTGTATTACCATCCTCTCATGTAAACCCTTATGCATTTAAGTTGTCGTTTAGGGGCGAAAGAAAACATTGAATGCCCTGACATTTTGTTGGCTCACATAAAATAGCATTAAGTTCCGCATTAGACTTGGATGTGTTTTGGTTGATTCAAGTATGAATTCAAAATGTAGATCCGTTGAATAGTTACTTGAAGAGGAAATCATCTAGCCTTGGCAACATATAGAGGCCCAAGGTAAGTTCATCTAGGTTTGAAGTGTTCCGTGTGTGATCAATCACATAGGTATTCATAAGTTTGAAATAGGGTAATTTATAATTTCGGTTCTGTATTACAAGTCTTTTATGTGTGTGTTCACCTCTCTAGCATCATCCACATTGTTGATTTTCGATTTTTCCTCTTTTATGATAGTGAAAATTATTCTTATTTGCCATCACCTCTCTTTTAAGCTTGTTTGATTTAAATAATAACTATATAACGCCTAATTCTCATTCCTTGTGAATCAACCTTGAGCTTACCATAGTAATTACCTATTCTAGTATTTTTATTTGATAAATTTTTAATTCTAAATATTTTTGATCAATTGATTTGGGGCTTTCAATGACCTTTGATTTCATTTTATCAAGGATCAATATTTAATTCGCTTCGTAGCTTAGAGCACCACACATTTTTGTAGAAAGTTGATCTTATTTTTTAATCAGTGAGTGATGGGCATCCATGTTATGGAATGTGTTTTTAGGCACTGAGATTTCTCCATGCAAGGGTGAGAGAGATTGCCAACATCAATCTTCTTGTCGGTGGTCCTTTGTCGAAGAAGGCAACATGTAGGTGGTCTCAGATCTCTCAAATCATAATGTATGAAACTGTTCCACTCAAAATAAATTAGTTCTGAATTAAAGATCCAATATATCTTGATTATTTGAGCTAAATTGTTCTAATCAAATCAGGATTCAACATATCAATTGAGGATTTTTGATCGCCCACGTTCCATTTGTCATCATCTCATGTAGAAGATAGTGTTAATCTAAGATTTCCATGGTGATCACTAATGATTGTATTCTCAACTAAGAACATTGATCGACATGATTGCCACATTCTTAGGTGGATGGTTATCTACTCAAATGGTTTCACATCACTACACCATGTGAGTGCCATGCTCTCACTAGGATGTGGGGAGTCAAAGTAGTTGACCATCTCCATGGTGATCGTTAACGTCTATATTCTATTGACTTTTTGTGGAGGTGAGGGCATCGGTTTTTCATATTCATCCTCCACACATGGAAACATGTGGATTCTGTACTCTAAGCATATGATGAAAGATGTTGCGTAGTTCCCAACTTCCTTTCAGGCATTCTCACATCCTCTTCCTCTAAGTTACAAGATTTCTAGAGTAGTCTCCCTTCGATGAAGAGTAGCCTAATCCTTATCATGGCGAGAGAATCCCATTAGATGAAAGAGTGTGGATGGTATTTTAAATGACAATGTGAGTTTCTCCACTAATATGGATGCTCAAGTATTTTAAAACTTTATTTTTTGAGTATGTCATAATGAAGGGAAGATTGATTGTCTATTTCCCACCAAAACATAATGCACAAGAAAAAAATTAAGTTCTATAAGATTGTTGAGTCAAGTTATTTAGGGTAAGACAAAGTAGTTAGTTTATTGTGAGCAGTTGATAAATATAAAGATAATTTTTTGCATGATAAAGATTTGTAAATTTGAAATTTTTAAAGAAAAGGAGAGACAAATTTAATTGAGTATTAATATAGCCAAATCAAGTGAACTAGATGCCCAAGATTGGTGAAGACAAATTTTGACCCAAATTCAACTTCAGATAGCCCTATAAGTGATTTAGACACATCTTAAATGTGTCTAAATTTAAGTTCTCGCTTTTATTTTTCATTTCTCACTATTTGTTGTTTCAAATAACTGATTTCTCATTATTTGTTAAGGGTGTTCCTACTCCTTAGGGTCATTCTAACAAAACCCCCATTTTCCTTTGGGGCATTCTAACAAAACCTCCATGCCTTTTAGGGCATTTCAACATAACACACCATTTTTTAAGGTTAATTATAGCTATATTTTGGTCTATTAAAGGCCTCCCTTGTAGCATTAGTGGCATTCCAACTTATTTCAATCTATTCCACTTTTTTTTTCCTTTCTTTGAGGTTTTCTATTTTTGATTGTAGATTCTAGTGACTTGTAGATTCAACCCTTTTTGATCTTGTGGAGTTTGGATCAATCCCTTGTAGACTCAAGCAATAAGACCTCTCTATTCTATTGATCATGGTGAGGAGTTTTCAACAAAATCATGTTCCTTATAAACTCAAGGTCATGGTTTTACTTTGACAATACTTCAGCAAAACTGAACTTGATCAAATTATTAGTTCTTCTAGTTGCTATTACATCAAATATATCTTGAGGTGTAGATAAATATTTCATGTTAACTAAAGAGATAAATTATATATTAATTATTTGATAAAATTGAACTATGTATGATGAGAAAATCATGTAATGTTAAAAGCTAGTGAATTTAAAGCTATAAAGTGTATTGTGTTGGAGGATTTATTAATCTTGTAAACATCAACAAGTGTTCTTTGATAGAGTAGTGGAAACAAAGTGCACAACTCTTAGTGGCACTATTTTTTAATTATGAAATGAGTTGATCCAACAAGTTAACCCACTTGATCCAACAAGTTAACCCACTTAACATAGTCCAAAGAAAAGTGTCACATTCTCAAATAAAGCATGAAAATCGAAAAAAGGCCATTTCACAACCCCTCTTGGCATGACATCTAGCTTATTCAGGACCAACATAAGTTTCACTGGTTTCCATTGTAATGAGAGTAGTACAAATTCTAAATGTCAAGGGCTTAGCTGGCCATATACTTTACACCTCCAACTAAGCAAAGAAACACTTCAAGATTCGTGAGAGTAGAAGATGAACTTGGTTACCACTCAACTAATCTTTTTTTGATTCACAACTATAAAAGTCTAATAGGATTAACACTTGGCTAATCTCCTGTAGATTCACAACTTTAGTTTGGCATAGAACTAAAATTAATCTAGAACAAGATAAGAATAAATAAATGTTTTTATAGATTCATGGCCTAGCTTTCATAGGGTGAAATTTTCATTGAGAGATGCAAAAGCATCTAGAGGAGAGGAGACCTATAACTTCTTATGAGAATTTCCTTGATTTGGATTATTAATTCTTTTTTTTAAGACAGTCTTTTTATAGTGACCATTTTTTCTTTATTTTTAACATTTTTTTAAAGCCAAAACATATCTAGAAAATGATCCCCAATAAGTAGGGATAGCTAATTTTCAAAGTGTTATCATGTGTTTTTTCCATGGACTGTCCTCATGTGTTTTAGGTCGACTTTTTCTTGTACAAGTATGAAATCTAAAAAATAGAATGTATAAAAATTACACAACAGATAATAGAGCATTTGTAACATAATCAAGTAAATTTTCAAGGGTTAAGAAGATTATTTTCTCTCTCTACTCATCTACTCATTTCACATTATGAATAAAGCATAAATTTTGTTTAGGAAAAATAGCTCTAAAAATAATTGAATTTTTTTTATTCATTTTAGAGCATTTACAACATAATGGATAATTTTTAGGGGTCACAAAAATACATTTAAGTATTTTATGTAGAATTCATGTTTTACCATTGACTAGATTTTCCTCATTTTGATCCTTGTTCTCATCCTCCATGTTTCGATTTCATGATTAATCTTTTTTTGATATCCTAAAATTATCATATTTCCCTTTTAGAAAGTTTTTTTAATAATTAGTGTACAAATTCATCTAGTTAGTTGAGTTGAGTTTTGAGGAGAATCCTTTTGTCGAAAGTATTTTTCTCAGTTTCCTCAAAATCAATGGAACTATCTAATGGTTTGGGAACTATTCTGTCAATATTTTTGTAATATCTTAGCATAATTATGGTAGTGTCAAGTCACCACTTTACACTTCTACCCATTTTATCATCATGGAACTTATAAAGGCTTTCAGATCTAGGAAGAATGTTTAGTATGGGAGGAATCAACAAGGCTACTTGTTCATTTAGTAGTTCAGTTTCATAAAGAAACTAAACTAAATGCTATTATGAATTAATTGAAGACACATTTAAAATTTCTCCTTGTTAAATATTCGTACATCCATGATCTATTAGTATTCCTTGAAACCCTTTATTTTTGTTAGTTTTTATGATGTGCCTCTATTCACAGTAAAACCACATGCATCTTCTTCATCACTTTCTTTCACATATTTCTTAATTTTTAAGTGACAATTGCCCTACATTACACAATAATAACAAAGTTTTTTTAGCAGATTCAAAACAAGGAACTAGTCTAAAAGATTAGGCACATTACAATTTTGGCCCATACCAAGCTTTTTATAACCTAGACATGTTGTGGGCCTTTGCAAAGGACCTAGGGTCTATACTCAAGTTCAAATTGGAAAAGTCATAAAGTTTCATAAACTCATCTCTTCAATGCAATTTTAAAGTTACAGATCTTGACTCAAAGTATCGAGGCTACATCCTTGGCTCAAAGTATCATGGCTACATCCTTGAGAGGTTAAAACTAGAAAGGATTCAAGAAGAATAAAATTATTAATTAGGTGTGTTGACATATGGGAATCAATAATTACATAAGAAATTCATTATCCTGAACTATATGCTCCACTCGTTTCAAATTCATTATTTCAGAAATACCTTGATCTGATACTCAGCGATAGGAAAACTTTCATATTTGAAAAATAAACCTAGATTGTGGTAAAAAAAGCCCAAAGTTTGGAAAATAAAATATATGATTAATTTTTAAAATAATAAATTTAAAGTTGGAATGTGAGATGATGAAGTATGCAGATGGAGACGTTGATAACACATCGCAGGAAGGAGAGAAAGGCACAGACGACGGAGACCACTAAGGTCGCCCCATGAACCAGCAGGAAAAGAAAAAAACTTTTCTTCATCGAAGTAGCGCCGGTCGTAGAGATCAGAGAAGGACCGCGCCGCTCCTTTCAACCCAGCATAGAACCTTTTGTAGTTACTTCACGTGATCGTCGTCCTGCCGCCGCCGCTGCCCCCACCTACGTGGTCAACAATGCAGGCAATGATCCGGCGGAAGGACCAAACCAGATGCTCCATGCTGGAGCTGAGATGAAGCCTAAGGCGGATGCCCCAGCCGGTGGGGAGAGCGGCGCAGCCGATCATCCTCGTCCATAGCCGGGCCATGCAATTCTGGTTGTGCGTATATAGCACAGCCGCCGGCCGGAGATAGGCGGAGGCAGCATGCTTGACGAGGTGGTTCCTGATTTGTACAGCGGAGTCGTTAAAGAGGGGGACGTGGACGACGGTGTTAGCCGACCAGCCGCGCCGTGGGGAGACGAAGATGATGTCACGGAGGCTCGTATAGCGTAGAAGGGCATGATCATCAGCGGTGGAAGCGGAGAGCTCCGGTCCTTGGTGGGGAGGGCAGCTTTCCAGTTTCTTCATCTCCATCTCCATATCCATATCGGACGCAGTCCATTCAAATGCTTAGAACTTTGAGAAGAGAACTTGGGGGGGAGACGGGGGGTGAGAGAGAGAGAGAGAGAAAGAGCAGGTGAGGAGTGGGGCTCGGGTTGGGGTGGGTGCCCTCTTGCCTTGATGTTTTGCCTCGGAGCGCAATGCCGTTCATGAAGGAACGAATGATTTTGAGAGAGAAAGAAAGAGAGAGAGCGCCACACGAAATCTGCACGCTGTGCTAGCCCTGTTTCGCCGCTTGTGGTTTATCGCCTCGTTCCACGCTCCCACCCGAAATTCCGTTGTTTTTTCGTTTCTCAGTTTGGAGAGAGACAGGGTGGAGAGGGGCCACTTGACCCGGTCAACCGTTACCCGAAACGAGCGACAAAATCGCCAGTTCAGCCATGTAGCAGGCACCCAACCCAATCGCCTGTGAACTTGAAGGCGTCGCGTTAAGATCATCCTAAATAAAATCATCCAAGGCCCAGAACAGATTGCTCAAAATTTGTGGCCAACAATCCTATTAAAGTATTGTTTTCTATATACGTATTATTCTTCTAAATGGGCGATAATGGATGTGGATGAAGAACTCTGCTAACTGCTGAAGATAGCTGCCTTCCTACTCCCACCAAGATGGGGCTCATCAGCGGACTATTACATGCCCTCTAGGGCTTCCACCCATCTGCGGCATTTCCACAAACAATTGTACTATTATCCTGTGGAGAACGAGGTGGAGGAAAGAAAGGATGGAGTTCGGCATTCTCTCTCCGCCCACATGGCCGAGATGGAGCAGGGAGGTCTCCACCATCCACAGAGCTCTATCTCTCTCTCTCTCTCCTCTCTTTCTCTAAGAGGAATACATCCGGCGGCCGCATCGATGGCACGGTTGAGGGGAAGGAGGTTTGCTCTCCGGGGACTTCCGGTTCCGCAGCTCCGGCAGGTCCAGCCCCAGGACGTCGCCCAGTACCCTCGGCCCCTCGCTGAGCTCCTCCAAACTGACCATGTTCATGATGAACGCAGCGGGCAGGGAAAAAGGTTAGCGTTATGTCGATAATATCGCAGGCGTATTACTATCAAAAGCTCAGAAATCGATCAAAATAATCACAGAAAAAGCTAACTTTCTCCAACTCTGATCCGGGTTCTTGCCAATTTCAGCTAAAAAATAAAATACTGTGAAACTAATCTCAGGAAGATCATATTTTAAAAGGCACAGAATGGATAATGCAAGATAATATTTCCGGCTTCTTACTATCTAAACCTCACAAATAGATGAAAACAATCACTGAACTGTTTCCATTTCTCGAATTCAGTTCCGGGTTCTTGCCAATTCGAGCCAAAAAAGCTGGGAAAGTAACCTCCGGAAGGTACTATTTTCAGAAAGCAGAATCAAGCCCTCACCTTATCGACAAGGGAGGCGCCAGTCGGATGATGGTGCCATGGGTGGGCTTCGCCAGAATCCCCCTCTCCTTCATTCGCAGGCAGATATCGAAGGCAGACACTGGAGAGAGGGTCTCCCCGTTCAGCTCCACCGCATTCAGCAGTCCTCTGCCGCGCACCTCTTTGATCAACTCGGGAAACCGCTGCTTCACCTTCTCCAGCTGACCTCGGAGCTCCACTCCCAGCTCGGCAGCCCTGAATAACATCGCCACCCGCTAACTTGACTCATCTGGAAGTTCAGAGGTCAACGGAGAGAGAGCCTTGCAAAAAGAACCACGAAGTTTTTTTCCCACAGCTAAAATTCATAACTGAAGGATTCGATAACTCCCAGCGAGTCTCTCACCCTCCATGTGGGAGAATGTTCTTATTTTTCTCTACGTCAAGGGCAGCAGAGCACATAACTTTGTCTTCTTCAAAAGTTTAATAATCCGTTGACAAGTCGTTTATTCTCGTTAATTAGAGAGAGAGAGAGAGAGAGAGAGAGAGAGAGAGAGAGAGAGAGATTATCACAACACTGGAATGATGAAATACCTATCAGCAAGTCCCTCATCCTCGATGACTTTCAACGATGCGATTGCCACAGCACTTGACAGGGGATTCCCTCCAAACGTGCTAAGAACAATCGAGAATAAGTTCAAATTCGCATCAAAGGCATCATTTTCTCACACTGGTACAAAATCACATCAATGAAGTAATAATCATTTGAAAGAAAAACCAAAGGAAGGAAAAAATAACAACAGTAATAAGCATTTGTACCTCCCGTGCTCCCCTGGCTTAATGCACATCATGACATCTCTGTCTGCTAGAACCGCACTCACTGGAAGTACTCCAGCACCCAATGCTTTCCCAAGAATCTAAAACCAACAAAGCTGTTCAATGACCAGCCCATCCCATCTTCCATTTTTAACGGATATTTTTATTCATCATTCTAAGGAAAACTTATTCTCCCCCTCCATCGACGAGCATTTCATCCTCGATGACATTGAATAGAAGATTCTTATCCATTATTGAATCAAAGACACCAACCATAGCAAATAACACGGCAGAATCTTATCACCAACGATCAAGAAGATGTTCATAGATAATAGTTTAACTAGTACCACAACATCGGGCGAGATCCCTTCCCAGTCGCATCCCAGTAACTTCCCTGTGCGGCCGAGCCCAGTCTGTATTTCATCAGCGATCATCAGAACATAGTGCCGAGAGCAGAGGTCTCTGGCAGCCCTCAGATAACCATCTGATGGCATTATGACCTGGTATTAAGCATTTAAACCAAGCACAAGGTCAAAGATTATAACCATGTGAAAGAACAGAAAACTAAAGGCGTATATTCCGGCCATGAGAAATAACGTTTAAATTAATTATTCATTAAATTCTTATTTCTGATCAGAGCTAGATCCTCCCGATTGTTTTTTCATAACTCTTGAGTACTTACTTGGCTGACATCATAGATCGGTGACATAGAGTGATCCATGCAATTAGAATCCTTTGGGACAGATTGTTTCTCATGGGTAATGAACGTGGAAGAAGAAGTGAAGTAACTCCATCCAGAAATGATCTAAAATCATGAATTCCATTAAAATTTATATTAAATCAAATTTCACGATATTTAAGTTCATCGTGTTTGGAACGATCATTGGTTTATCTTGACACTAAAAGAATTCCTATCGTTTTATGGGACACAGACAAAATGGAATTATCTTTTAATCTCTCATTGTCAGGAGAATCTCCCAGACCTTTTTTTTAAGTAACAACAGTAAGCATCTGGGGAAGAAGAAGCCTAATAACAAATAAATAAATAAATAACTAAATACATAAATTCGGGGTATACTCACCCCTGCCTCCCCCTGAATGGGCTCAAAGAGGAATGCAGCTATCTGTTCTCCGTGCTCTGTACACCCCAAAGTGGATTAATTAAGTGGAACTTTTTTGAGACCAATTTTCATGAAAATGGACCGAGTTCTGTATCAACAGAAGATGTGAACCTTCGAAGATCTTCTTCAGGCCCTCAATATCACCAAAGTCAACCTTCATGTGGCCAGGCAGCAGCGGTCCAAAGCCACACACAGCTTCATTGTCGCAGCTCATAGAAATCACTCCCAGGGTACGGCCATGGAAGCACCCGCAGCAGGAGACAATGATCGCCTGAACAGGGAGATGAATTTTGTTCAGAGACAACCTTCTTCATTTGGAAGGAACACACACACACACATGTATAAACTCTAAAACCTCAGATCAAGGATAACCTTCGTTGACCACAGACTAAGATGTCACGCGGTCATCTTGTCCGAATTCGGACAGCGGTCTGCTGCTCACACTCTCCAAGAGTTTGCCCAAAATCTACGAGTTTGGAGTCGGCGGTGTTACCTTGTCCTTGGGTATGCCCTTCTTCTCATAGCCCCATTTCCTGGCCAGCTTCAGAGCCGTCTCCACGCCCTCAGCGCCCGTGTTCATCGGCAACACCATCTCGAAGCCGAACATGCGGGTCAGGAGCTCTGCGAACACGGGGAATTTGTCGTTGTAGAAGGCCCTGGAGCTGAGGGTGATCCTCCCCGCCTGGTCAACCAGAGCCTCCATGACCTTCGGGTGGCAGTGCCCCTGAGAAAAAGGAACGAGAGGATCCAACATCACTCCAATCTTGATCGTTTGATGATGGTCTTCACCGGAAGTTTGATTCATCGATGAAAACTGCTCGGTTTTCCTGACCAGGATCACACCGACCTGGTTGACTGCAGAGTAGGCGGAGAGGAAGTCGATGTACTTGTTTCCCTCGGGATCCCACACGCAGCAACCCGCCGCTCGAGAGAACACCATGGGGATCGGATGGTAGCTGCAGGTCAAGGGTGTTCGAAATTATCGGGAAAAAACCAACCGGTTTTGTTCACGAATCTGTAAATTTTCAACGAAACGGAGCCACGAACGACACGAGATCCGAATCATTTCCAAGGCCACAGGCGACGGATTCTTTCCCCAAGAGACGCCAGGAAAAACCAACCTTCTCATTGTCCATCCTATCAATTATATCTTCGCGAAAACCGAAATCAATCGACGGGGCCTGCGGCGTGAACTCACTTGTGAGCGCTGTGTTCCCCTTCTAATCTGATGAGCTCCTCGGAGGACGGAGGTGGGGGAGAGGGCTGGCGGCGGGTCATTTGGGAGAAGTCCCTCGAGGGGCCCCAAAACCTCCTCAGGAGGCCATGAAGAGGCCTCCTGGAAGCGACAGCGGCGGCGGCGGCGGCGGCGGCAGCCATCTCCGGCGGCAGAGCAGGAGAAGAGGCAGCTTGACGGTCGGAGAGGAGGGACCCCTCGTTCAATTCGGACCCAATCGACAAAAACCCGTCTTTTCCTCTGCCGTCCCAATGCGCCGATTTACTCCATTCACATGCAGAGGGGTGCCCAACAACGGCCTCACGGCGCGGTGCTCATCCCAACACTTGCGTGACGTCCTCGCCTTCCCCCCGAGAAAGAGAAAGAGAGAGAGAGAGAGATAGAACAGAGTTTCTTTGGTTCCATCTGCCTCTGCCTCTGGTTCCTCGTTCCTCGTCACGCCGATGCAAGCGACCATCGACGGCCTTCCCGAAGGAGGAGAGATAACCACCGCCACGTCCGCAAATGGGTCGCCTTCATCTACGAACAGTATTCGACCTTCGTGCGGAAGGCATTCGCAAGAAAGCTTCAGAATCTCCAACTAGAAAATATGCACAAGAACCACCGCCATAATCCTAAAATACGCCCGTGCCCTTGGATCCCCCGGTGCAATCAGTCCACATATAACACTCCACATACAAGAGAATCCTATTTCTTCCTCCATAATTCTTGTAGGCTCAGCTAAATTTTTCAATAATTCTTGTGGCACCAAGGTAAACATCAACGACGAGGATTTTCACCCATCATCCTCATTCTTCAACACTCTTATACAAATAAGTAGGTCATCTACGCTCGTATCAGCTGTGTGAATTCACTGCTTACAGAGATAAATCTTCTCCAAATTTCAACTTCTTCAAAAGCAGAAGAAGAAAGAGAAAAAAAAAATTGGCTGCGGGGGCAGTCAACAGAAGAATGTGTGAATGACTTCAGGAATAGACAACTTTGAGATAGCTGAGTTCTTCTCACAAAGTGTAGAGAAGGGTGGGCGAGTGCTCACAGAAAGCAAGTTTTTTAGTTGGATTTTGGAGAGGAAAATCTGGGCCGGAGCAGGGCAGATGAGGTTGATGGGAAGAGATCGAGAGACCCTCTGGCCAGTGAAGAAAATTCCCTAAATGGGAAGAGGGAGGAAGAAAACGGGTGTGTACAGAGACGCAGTGCGCTGTTCCAAGAAAAAATATCGAAACAAGAAAGTTACCAGGAAGAAAAGATGAACAAGGACGGCGATAAATCCTAAACATTACTCGAAACAGGACTTAGAAACTGCACGGTTTCAAGCTTAGGGTGGGTTTAGGGGATCATCTGTGCATCACCCTTAACAAGCATGGATGGAGATGGATGGAGACAACGCCATTCTGTGCGTAGAATGCGAGCATGGGGATGGATACCCAGGAACACCGACAAACCAACTCAAAGTAACATACAAGATTCAGGTTGGTCACCAGAATTGGAGGCTACCCCACTTGTGAGCAGGCTAATGGGCTGAGAATGCCAAAAGGATGAAGAACAGAGATGGATCATGAACAACAACCAGACGAAAGATTAAGGGTTCGTCGGAAGCATCAATGAGAGATTAGAGATGGAGAGGGCATGGGCAACCCCATTTGCGAGCAGGAAAGAAATACAGCAGTTTTCATAGGCACCCAAATGGTGGAGCCACTAAAGACTGAAGTGGAGGCTGAAGAAGAGATACTCACCAGCTGTCCCACTCTCGGTGGATGATTGAGAATTACTGAAGAGGCAAGGAGAGAGCTTGCGATAAGAAACAGAAATTTCAAACACATATAATCTAACGGTCTTCGAGCATGTGAGTTACTTGTCTGAGAAATCCCTCACAAAGAGGATGTACTTGACAGCTGTGCTACCACAAGAAGACACAAGAGAAAAAATGTCCAAGGGCAGGGAGAGAGAGAGAGAGAGAGGGAGAGAGAGAGGGAGAGAGAGAGGGAGAGAGAGAGAGAGAGAGCAGAAGTGCCTAACAAGTTCTAGGATGAGAGGATAAGAACTGACTCATTGAACACTGGTAGAGAGTGAGAGCCTTGTTGAAGTAAGTTTCAGCAGCTGATTCTCCATGATTGCAGGGTAGCTCTGGAGGCCATGAAAAGTTCCATGGAGAATTTCAAGGCCGGGCCCCCTTCCCGTCCCCCAAATGCGACGCTCTTCATGGATGAAACCTAGAGGAACTAGAGCAAGGAGAGCTTGTAGGCAAAACCGCCAAGAAAGAGGGTGGTTCACCTCTTTCAAGCTGGAAGAAGAAGCATGCCTGCCTCCAAAAGACTCCAAAAGATCAAGAGGACATGATGAACGCCTGAATTAAGTTCTCTGCAGTGCGCCGCTGCTCTGCTGTGCCGGATATCTGAGCAACACGCTCGCCACGAGAAGTCTTTGACTCGACCACCTCCACATTTGCCCCAGAGATCTAAATATACACCCATAGAAGAAGTGAATTATACAGTAACTCCGATTTCCCCGGGCAATGGCGACATCACACAAGATTAATGGATTCCCATCATAGCTGTCAGAGAAACACACCTTCCGTATGTTTGCCAGATTCGTCGCGCCCTTTCCCAGCACTTTGCCAATGGCACTGGCAGGGATCACCATCTCGACGAATGGGGGCAATCTATGAGATAAGACATGAGCATCAAAAGAGAAACCCTCGCACTGGATTGATTGAAGCATAACTATATGCCGGAAAGCATCCAGGTTTATGCATAGATATACATGCAGACGTGTGCGAATACTAGTACATGTTCATACCTATACGTATCACGTGTATGCATAAAATCTATGAAAAAAGAAAAACTTGACAAAGGGACTGCGTCAAAATTAGGTAGTTAGTTATATGAAGGCCTAAACATTGCAAAATTAGGCAGTTAGGGACTGCGTCATTTGTGTTTAACCAGGAAAAAAAAATAATCAGAAAATGTAAAATAGAGTTATCAAAGTTTAAAAAGTTGGCAAAGTGACGAAATGCTACAGTCCTGAGAGATTGCATACCCTCCTCCGTATGGTTGCGATAAATACGAGGGCAGAGGCCCATAACCATTGTCTCCACCCTGCACAAGAGACAGAGCATAGTAAACCAAATAAGGAAACACTGAATCAGGCATGGCATGATAACATACACACACATGGAAATATGTGGCTTCCCACAGCATGGGACTACCTGCAAAGAGCCATATCCATACATTGTGCCACCCGAAAGCATTCCCACCCCGCCCACACCATCCATTCTCGGCTCAGAGCCAAAAGGAGGAGCCGGGGGAGCAACATTGGGAACACTTGGCATCACTGAGGGCACTGCATGTCCGCTGGAATAGAGAGTCTCTACTGGAGGAGCACTCTGACCACCGTCCTCCCTCTCTTTCAAAGCAGCGTCCCTAAGCCTAAGAACAATCTGCACAAGAGCATCCCTCACAGAACTGGCGTTGCCCTGCACCTGAGGAGAGTGATTACCGATGGTCAGCCAAGAAAAGAACCTGTGAAAAAAAAAAGGATAAGATGGCTTCAAAGGGAGGAGGACGCTTGCCTCGACGAGCTCATCATCGGATCCACTGTATTTGGGTTTATCGCCCTTGGAGATGCGAATCACCGCCTTGGATGTCTTGCGCATCTCATTAACAATTGAGCCACTCTTTCCAATGAGGCATCCGATGATCTTTGAAGGGACGAGGAGACAGATTTCTACAGTCTCAGCATCCACATCGTTGATTTTCCCCTGAAGAAGCAGCACAGCTTCCACTGCCGCTGACTTCTGATCATCCGTGCACTGTTAAAAGCCCACATTGAACGCCAATTACAGATAAATTAAAAAACCGCCCATCTTCATGAAGGCAGGAAATAATTCATCCACATATCTCCCTCCCTAGAAGTGAAAAGCAGGAAGTAAGTCGGTTCCACATACCTCCCTAGAAGTGACAGTTACGACACATTGTTCCGACATGTTCTTTGTGTCATCAACATCCACACGGGCCCCACTAGCTTGACGCACACTCTTAATCGAGCTGCCTCCTTTCCCGATGACACGACCAATCTTGTCCGATGGGCACAGTACCCGAACCACAAGCTCCTCAAAGCGAGGGCCACTAAAGGTGGGAAGGACAGGGATGGCAGGTGGATACCCTGGCCATCCACCCCCACCATCACCATATCCATGGAATTCAGGCACATGGGTGGGGGCTCCCATCATAGGCAGTGAGGATCTCGGGGGAGGAACAATTGTATCTGCACTAGGAAAAATACTTCCACCTGGGAAAATTGGGACATCCGAGGGCATCATGACACTGGGCGCAAGCTCAGGCAGAGTAGTCTCAAGGGAGATCTCTTCTTTTGGAGAGAATTTGTACATGATTGCAGAGACCGCAAAAAGGGCTCTCCTCACCGCTTCTTCATCACCAGAAATCTGCACAAGCAGAGGGAATACAAGAGGGATAAGAAGCCACAGAGCAATTGATGCAAACCAGAATGGAAGGAAAAGACAAAGAGTTCACGATAACCAGCATACCTAGACAAGAATTGAGAGGGGATCACAATAGGAATGACTGAATATGAACCATGAAGTAAAACAAAAGTGAACAAATGCAATGTTTTGTGATTCAAAAAGCGAGAGCATCAAAAGAAGATTGAAGGGACCAAAATATTTCGTAGGCGTACTGAAATGACAACAGATTTGATTCGTTGGTTCGCAGGTCATTTGGACCCAGTAGCATGGCAGAAATCTAGGCTTTACTGGACACATTTTATGACAAGGACTTAACGAACGTAAGTTCGTTATAATCATTACACTTGAACGATTTGTTCTTCAGCTTTTGCCTGCAAGTAAGTTGCCCACAATCATTGGAAAACAAATCTTATCGCATTAGCAAGTAAGTCACCCACTATCATTATTCAATGACTGATTTCTTCACATATTTAGGATATCCTTTTTTGACAATCATTGTAGAAAAACATCATTTGTACAAGTCAAGATAAGTACAGCGCATCTCTAAGGTAAAGCATTGAAACTTCCCTTTAGGGGGTATTAAGATTTGATATTCAGATATAAAACAAAATTCCCCAAATACAGGTTTCAAATGAAAAGAATTCATCCAAAAAAAAATCCCTGCGAGGATCTATTCATGACCACAAGATCACAACTATCTTCCGCTCAGGGAAGCATCAAGCAGAGCCAACAGGCTCAGAGCAGAGAGTCCAAAAATATTACCGAGACGAAGTTGTCAAAACTCATCGCACAGGAATGGGTGGGATCCTCTGGATTCTTCTGAATGACCTTAATATTGGCCCTGGTCTTGGCCCTCAGCTTCTTGATGGTCGCCCCGGATTTTCCAATGATGTTCGCTGTTTGGCTGGCCGGCACAAGAATACGGGCCTCTTCCCTCCGTTGGTCTTCCGAGTCTCCGATGTTGGACAGTGCATTGAAGATCGTCCCATGCACCCTCAGCAGGGCGTCCTGGGCGGGGCAGAGTGGCACCGCATCGTCCTCATCCATCACGTTCTTCTTCTCATTGACGTAGCAATAGATGGTAACAATTCTCTCGTTAGAGCCAGGGAAAGGGTCGACGATCTTGATCCTCGCGTGTGTCTCCTGCCGCAGCGAGTTGATCACCTTCCCGCCCTTGCCAATGACGCTCCCTACAACGTTGTCCGGGCAGAGCAAGCGGTAAACGACCAGTTCTCCGTTGTTTGGGTTCTCCTTGCTGAGCCTCTTAAACTGACTCCGCCCGTCGCTGCTTTCCATCTCCCTCGCGCTGCGAGGCCGCTTCCCCGTCTCGCCCATGGCTTCCAGACCGCCGGGGAGATTCCAGCGAGCTTCACTCCCTGAAACAGACGAGAAAGACGAAGTAGACGTTACGGCGGATCGTCACCGGGATGCGAATGCAGCAAGAGGAGATCCGAAGCTCGAGAGGCCACTGAGAAGAGGGATGAGCGAGCGCAAGAGTAGTAATTTGCGTAGAATCCTATGCTGTACAAAGGGGCGCCGGTGATGAAGCGTCTCCTAATGGCAGAAGCCGCCGGTGATGGATAAGCCCGCCCTAATTATGAAATAACTCAAAGAAAGGGGAGGGAAATCGCACAGGTTCGGCAGTAGCCATGGAGGAACGGGGATCTTTGTCACCCAAATTTGTCAGTAACGGGCTGAAGAAGCATAGATAATCAAAGGATGCTCGAATGCAGACCCCAAGCAGGGACTTAGCGGGAAACCACAGCCAGAAAAAACATACCCTAGGGCTGAAGTTCACTGAGAAGGTCAGCAGGGTCCCCGGAGCCGGCACGAACGGAGTGGTAAAAACCCTAACGCTGCAGAAGCAAAAGCCTCCAAGGAGAACCGGAACCGGCCTCCCCCTCGCGAAGGGAGGAAGAAGGACGAGATGGAAACAGAAAAGAGTGTATACCTGTACATTCAACTGGTGCGAGAGAGAGAGAGCGTAATAGAAACCCTAGACGTCTACGGCCGACTCACTGGCCGAGTAGGAAAGTGGGGAGGGACGGGGAGACCGAAGGGACGCCCTGCCACCGGCTCAACCGGTTATCGTTCCTAAAATACCCGGTCCTCTTTCTGGGATATTTATGTTATATCTTTTCATTAAGAGCATCAAGACCCACAGCCGGTGAGAGAGAGAGAGAGGGGGGGTGGGTAGAGGGAGAGGAAGAGGGGGAGAGAGAGGGAGAGAGAGAGAGAGAGAGAGTGGCTACATAGGAACAATTGTACCTATTCTCACTAGTGGTAAAAGTAACAACATGTGCATCACCCATGTGTCACCACGGAAAGCATCAACATATTTGGTTATCAAAATGTTCTATTGCATAAAAAATTCCTCATTGTGTAGATTATATGCTTCATTTTGTAAGCTATACAAATTTAATATGAAAAGGAAAAACTTAGGAAATTTACACATTACGAAAAGTATATATTGACCAAAAAAATAATTGAAAGCAAAACGAAGAAAGTCATGACATTAAATACAATTAAATAAACTTTGACTTCTAATGAACTAAAATATTATTACTCATTTATGAAATGGGTCCTTAACATATCATCTTGATCACAATATTTGATAAAGTTTAAACCCTAAAAATACTAAGTTATATCAAATGGCTATGAAGAGTTCATTTTCTGGTGGAGAAATTCAAGAAAAGTCATGTATGTGAATCAACCATAAAAAAAATTAGTGCAAAACATCCTAGTTTTGTGTTTAAATTGAGTAATATTGGGTTTAATTATTAAAAGCATTTTGATGAGAACATTAGTTATGAAAGGAAAATCCAGTATATTAATAGATAAAAAGTATGCATTAAATTGTATAAACATGTGAACTAACATCATCATTAGAAATGCATAAATGAGAGATAGAAATACAAGAAACTTGGCAAATATAAATCAATTGATCTAGTTTTCTGAGATTTAGATCAAATTGAACAAGGGTAAATTGGCCAATAAGGTGAAGATATTCTACTCCTATTTCTATATCATATGAATAAAAGAAATTTAGTGGCAAGAGTTTATTGTAGAGATGGAACTTAAAATCTTCATTAGAAAACCAAATTGAAGAAAAATCGAATGCAATAAGTGGTGCACTAAAATTCCATGATTTTCATTTAATATGATTTTTGTTTTGCAAGTTGCAAACACAATTTCTATGTTTATTTTTAGGTGCAGCCAATAAAGTCTTGTAGTTGTGGCCTAATAAAGTTCAGCCATTGTTGTCTAATGTGTGGCCAGGTAAAATTGAGCTGTTATGATTTGATGTGTGGCCTAACAAAATCTAGCCATTGTGATTCGATGCATCACCTCATAAAATTGAGCCATTGAGTGAGAAGCCCATCCACTATGCAGAGCATAAAAGAGAATGTCTCCTCTATAATTAGGGTTAACACAAAACATTAGAAATTGAGAGATGTTGGACAACCCTTTCTTCTCCTCCTTTTTTTGTCTTTTGTTCGTAGAGAAATATGGTTAAAGAACATGTGTTTTGGCTTATTTAACATCAACCAATTATCAGCAACTCAACCTTACAACAGCATACCATGAAATCAAGGTTAAACATCGATTACTAATATAGAAAGCATCGATAAAAAGAAAAATTGATTTATTTCTTTGTATGCTTCTTGATTAATTTATGTATTGTGTTAAGGCACATGTGATGTATTTGTAACAAGGTTAAACAAGTTGTTAGAACCTTAGATTCTAGTGGGGTAAAATAAACTCATCATGTCTATTTTATAAGGATATTTTTGATCCCATGAAATCAATTATATTAAAAGGAGAAAGAATAGTAGAACTCAAGATTAGTGATCATTAGGAAGTGGGCATAGGCCTCAAGTACTCTAAACTTACTACAAAGTAGCACTATGAGAAGTGCATAATTGATGATCAAATCATTTTATAAATGTGAATTGTCACAAAGATTAAAAAGACCGAAAAAAATTTAGGCCCAAAGAAAGTGTGTGAATAAAACCTGTCAAAGTCTTAGTTTTTAGCAATTATCTATCCTTCTAGATTCAAGTGACCCCTTATGGATTCAAAGGTCATCCAGATAACTTGTTGAGGATTCAAGGTTTGATGGTTATAAGTTCTTTAGATTTAGGACTTGATTCTTCTATCGAAATTTTGTCTTTTAGATTCAATGATGAAATCTCTTTTTTGTGTAACTCCCACTATGTCAAAACTACTGCAAAAAGACAACTACATATGAGTTATAAATTTGAGTATACTTTTGTATCTGGTCATTAACCAAAACTTAAAAGCATTTAACCATAAAACAACATATAAAGTTTTAATAAGGAAATAAAATAAAATAAATAAATGGATCAAATTATCCTAATTATTTGTTACACATCAAATAAGCACAAGTAGGCTTTTGAATATTAGCAAATAAATGAAGAATAGAAAGTAATTATGTCAAATATCCAAATGGCAAATCAAATAATATATTTGAGTCACATACTTTGAAACACTAGAATTTAGATGAATTACTGTTAGAAACTATTACTTATATATAACTAAATAAAATGTTAATATTTACAAAAATTATCACATACATAGTAATGGTGATCATACTAAAATTTAATAATGATTTGTGAAATAAAATATGGATATAAAAACTTATCCAATATACTAAATGTTTATGATGTGGAGTCATTACTTGTAATGATTCCTAATGTTGAATTAATTGATTGATTCATATTGTTCAAATCACAGCTCACGATTTTCAAAATATTGACGAATATTATTCAAAAATTATTTTAAAATATCATAATTTATTGAAGAAATGATGGTCTATATTGAAATCATGATTCAATGTGTCTATTTTACTGTTATGATTTATCTAAGGTGATTTGGATTTAAATTAAATGTAAAATCCTAGGTTTATCAAGAGATATATTATTGGTTCTATTTAATGATAAAAGATCCTTAATTTTGACTTTAGTAAACTTTTTTTAATGACCTTACTCTTCTTTCTTTGATCATAATCTTGAGACTTAATGAATTATAAATCTAAAATACTCTAAAATTTTGAATTGGTTCAGCCCTTGCCTACATCCCCTATCTCATAATATTGCATGTTCTTAGGTTTTACTAGATCAAAAATCTCAATCACAATCATTAATTGATACATTCAACTCTTATAGAATTTTACCTTCCTTGAGTGGAATCTAGTCAAAGATGATTGTTGATAGCTTCAAATTAGTTTCTCAACTTATTGCCTTTGCATTGTTTGACCAATAGGAAATCCCTCACAATTTCTCACAAAATTTTCAAGAAAAAATATCAACAAAGCTCTTGAAATTGTAGAGTGGTTAGAGGTGATTGTTCAACACAAATTAGGCCTCGTAAATGTATTTATTTATATAGAAATTAAATTCTAAACCCTCCTTATTTTCGTTTGTGTCCCAACATCTAGATTTCAAAAGATAGATAGAAATTTAACAACTAGAAAAGTAATAATAACAATGATATAGCCCAAAAATATTCAAATCCTTATGAAAGAATAATATGTGGTTCTATTAAAATACATCATCTATATCCAAAGCATATATGTTTGGTCAAGTCTAATAAAGATCAAATATTGTTAATCTTTACTTTCTCATTGTGACATTCTTCAGAGATTGATAGTTTTCATAATAGTATAAAATTATTAATTTCACATTGCAAAATCTACCAGATTATGAAATTCAATATAATGAGATTCAAAAATTTTATTAAATTTATAATTGATTTTTTTTAATTATTACTTTGAGTTCTTTCTCACTTTATAGTTAAACTTTAGATCATATATATAAGAATATTTACTCATTGATAAATATAATTCAATATTTTAATGTCTTGTATTTTTCTCATTATTAATACAATATCTATCTAATCCTCCAATACAATCCTTAGCAAACTCGTTTGAACTAATAAGGTTTGGATATATATGTTAGACTTTAATGGTTGTGTATTGGTTTCATACTAGAGGATATCTAAATTATAAAAGACATGTTGCATTAATTTCCAACTATTCAAAATTCTTTCTAATTTTAAAATATTAATATTTAATAAATGTTAAAAAATAGGAGAGGTTTCTAAATCAAAATTCACTATAGATTCAACCTCTCTCATTTGGCTAATTAACTCCAAAAAATTATCACCAACGTCTCTACCATCTTGAGTTTTGATCTAAATTTTTTTGCAGATAATTAAGTTTGAGTTATAGTATTTAAAGCTTGGTCAAATAGCAAGAAGACACTAAATTGAGGAGCTATATTTGGTTCAGTTAAGATATTTGTCAACTTGTTTGAAGAGGTAACATCTTCATCTACTAGGAAGCTTGCCCATGTGAACAAGACAAATAAAATCAAATACAATTTAATATTCTCTCCAACAAATGTTTGAACACAACTTAAGTCAACATCAACAATTGGAAAATCCTATGGTGAAATTACTCTTGTTTTGTAAAGGAAAAATTTATGAAATTATGTGGTAATTGAACCTACTAATTAACATGTTAAATATTTGATTTAGTAAAAGTTAAGAACTTGGTGTTCTTGAAGGTTGACTATAGGTAGGGGTCCAAATCATCAAAAAAATCTTGGAGTCCTCTAGATTCAAACTGATGGTTTCAAGAAAATTCAAGATCAAAATGATCTTGATTTTGACTTTGGTCAACAGTTCATAGGAAAGAAGCCAAATGTTGTTTACTATTGACCTTTTAATAAGAATCAGAACTAGCTTTTCAGTATAAATTATTTAGGTTCTTAACTTGTTCTAATGGCTCTGTTGCCACCAAAGAAAGAGAGATTATTAGAGCATTAATTTACATATAAATTTTTGATAATGACAAACACACAAGGTAAACAAATTGATCAACTTGTACTAATTATTCACTACAGATGAAACACACATGAATATTCTTTTGGTCTCCCCTTCTTCACCATTTTCATAATCATTACTTGGTTGTGCAAATTACTAATTTCAAAGAGGTTAATAGACTTCACTATTACAAAAAAATTGAAAAATAATTTTAAACATAGTGGAATAAATAATTTGTCAATTACTTAAGAGATTCACATATTACATATCACTATGTTAGCTCAAATGATTTTCAAAGAGTGTAAAACTGTTTAAGACACTTTGGTATGAGTTTAACACAAATGAATCTTGTGAGTAATTTTTTAACACAAATCAATCTTGTGAGTAATTTTATCAATCTACTTTCAAAGCTTTAAATCTGCATTTTAAAGAGTTATCTTTGCCTAAATATGTTATTGATTTATTTACAAGTAAACAATAAATATTTTCCCCCTTAATGTTCAATTATTTGTTTGAGATGCTTAGTTCTCAAATACAAGGTGATAGCCCAACAAAGTAACTTGTATTATAGATTAAAATAATGTGCACAATATATTTATTTCACAAAAAATATAATAAACAAAAAATCTCATATATTTGTAATCTTATAATTTAACTATTTTCCACTATTCATGTACTACTATTTCAAGACTTTAAAAAAATAAGTAATAAATATTCATCATCATGAGTTAATAATTAATTAATAATATATTTTAAGTCTTAATTTATAATAAATAAACTTATATTTATGCTAAATTGAGAAAAGTAACCCAAAAATGTTATGTCATACATTTTAAAAGCTTAAAAGATGAGCTACCTAAATTCTTGGATGATTTCTATTTTCCCAAATTCATACACTCTATTGCCTAATTTCAAACATAAACTCAATATCTATTATAATTTCATTTTATAGTTTATTTGCTTTTGGACTCGTCTCACATCATTTTTAAGCCTATTTAAAAGCCCTCACATTATAACTACAAAACAACTCAGTTAGTACGAACTTTTGTTCTCTTTGAAAGAGTTTTGAGTGCTTGAGGATTCAACAACGTATTTCAGATCCCTTTGAATTTGAGGAAAAATCAAGCCCAACTATAGTAATCTAGAAAAAAGACACAAAGCGAGAGAGAGAGAAATTAGACGTAATTAATATTCTTCAAGAGCCACGTTTGTCAATCAGCAACGATCAAGAAAAGATGTTGGTAGACGTACACTTTACAGAGTTTATAAAGAGAAGACGGAAAATTGGATAACCTATAGTCAACGGAACCCCTCTTGAAGAAGCGAATTCCGCTATCACTCACTTCTTCCCGCCGCCGGACACGTTGAATTTGAAAAATATGATGTCACCGTCCTGCACCACGTAGGTCTTCCCCTCCTGCCGGTACTTGCCAGCAGCCTGTGGGAATGACCCATGAACAGATCCATTGAACACGGATTCCATGCTATAATAGGAAGCAAGGTGAACCAGGGATATGGAACATCGATTCCATGCCATAACAGGGATTAAGGTCAACTGCATTCTATGAATAGACGACAGAGCATGCACATCATGCCATAGTGAGGAGAGAGATTAACTATGATCCATGAACTGATGCAGAACGTGGATTCCATGGCTTAATGGAAACCAAGGACAACTACGATCCAGAGTGGATAATAGGTGAAGAGAGATCATCCCATTATAAGAAGAGATGTCGACTATGATCCATGAAACTAGGAGCATGGATTTCATCCCATGGTAAGAAGCAAGGTCAACTATGAATAGCGAACAGTTTATGGAGAATGGATTTCATTACACAGGAAGAAAGACTATGATCCAGAAACAGATATCAGAACACACATATCATGAGATGATAAGGTCAACTGTCATCTACAAACAGATAATAAAGGAACTCGTATCATGCCATAATAAGTAAGGTCAACTATGATCCGTTGACTCAGTCGTACCTTCACTGCCGGCTCGCTGCCAAGCTCCTTCAGGTCCTCAAACTTCATCACCTAGGCAGAAGAAAGAATGACAGAGGTGAGGAAAGTTTGAAATTTTCACAAGGGTTAGGAAGGCAAGAAATCATGAGAACCTCGGTTTCTTGTGATCAATCAGAGCCTATAGCACAATAATGCCGAGGGGGCTCATTGATGCCTCTCTCTCTCTCTCTCTCTCTCTCTCTCTCTCTCTCTCTCTCTCTCTCTCTCTTTCTCTACATTCCTCACCTGCTCCTCTACCTTTTCTTCCGAATCTGTCCGGGCATACCTAATTTTATACAAGAGGTACTGAAGCCGAGAGATGAAGACCAGAGAGAAGAGAAATACCTCGGCACATATGAAGCCCCGCTCAAAATCAGAATGGATGGCGCCTGCAGCCTGCGGAGCCTTTGTTTGCCGTCTAATTTGCCAGCATTTGACCTGCGGAATCAAAGTTACGACAAAACAAATCAAGACCCTGCCCATACGTGTTCATCAAAATATATGATCTATCATGCCTAATTTAAAAATAATACCAAAACCATACCTACTTTTAGAAATTTAACCATAAATAGTTTATGACAGCAAAGATGATGCACAAAGTATAGAGGTTTCACATGATTTTTCTGATTCTGTAGAAAGTCAGATGCCAAGTCAGAACTACCTAAGCGATAAGCAAAACAGATCTGTGGAGATTATCAAAGAGCAAACAGGTTCTGTGACAAAAATCAGCTGGTAATCTGACCAAGGCAAGCTGAAGGCACCAGAAAAAAATCAGACAATCTCTTTGATTTATGCTTTTACAAGGTGTTCCAAGGCAGGCCTAATCTTGTTTCCAAGAAAAATGACCATAAAATATTAATTAAGAAGGAAAATGAAAAAAATGGAAGTATTCTATTGCAATGCGAATATGCATGCAATTTTTTAAAGTTCTTAGGATTTCTTTCTGAGCTATGCCATTCATGAGCTTGATAGATCTGTTTTGATTCGGAACCTCATACGATCAGCAAACTTAAAGCTGTTGAGCCTATTTGCGTCAAGCACACCCAAGAGATCACAAAATTCGTCCAGCATCCTATTACATCTTAACCACCACACACAAAAGCACAAACTTTATTAGATCGTTGACCAAAGGGTCTTTTGTCAACATAAGGTCCCAATGCAGCATGTCTTGCAGAAACAAGGTCCCTATTAAGTCACGCGGACCCAACATTTAAGGTAGGCCTATAAGGCAATCAGAAGATGACTAGACCACTTGATACTAGGTCTACATCTGCACATTAGAATTTACTATTAAACACAAAATCCCCATTGAATCAGAAAGGTTAGCCATTAGAAGCAAACTCAGCATTACACTTACAGTTTTTTAGTAATGAGTATAGGCTTCTTAAAATAGACTCAGGCTGCTGCTAGAACCGAGCTACTTTGAAACCTTTTTGAACTGCCCAAAATCCCGAATTGTTAGAATGGATTGTGGCTTCTTGGGCCACTCGAAGTGACTACAAGTTTGTCATCTCTCCTATCAATTCATTTCCTCCTATGAGCAAGATATAGTTTTTAAATCAGCAATTGAGTCTTCGAATGGATCCTGTACCCCCATAGACTCTATTTCATGGATTCATTAATGTGCTCAGACTTCTGAATTCCTAGAATAGGTATCATTCTATAAGCTTGCTAAATGAGCATCATCCCATGAGTTAATGTGTATTCTCTAATTAAATTGTTAAACGGATATCATCTCATGCCTGAGTGAGCTTAGACCAAATGGCCATCATCCTTTGAACTTGTCGCATATGCTTCATTCCTTGGATATTAATCATAACGAACAGAAAAAAAAAGAAAATCTTAAAATGAAAGAGTCAAATATATAGATACAATAAATAAATAAAACATGTAAAATCGGATAACATAAACTAAATACCAATTAACAAAAAAATCATGAAAAGAGTCAAAATAATGAGGAACATAGAAATAGCATAGTAATAAAAATATGATTTAAAAACAAGTTACTGAATAAAAAACCATTAAATACCGTTCTCAGTAAAAAAAAACAACTTCCACAAAACCGATTTTACAAAACCATTGCGAATACAGAGTACAATGTTATTATATACTATCACCAACGCAACCAACCAAAGAGAGAATTAACAATCTAATTTCACGTTTACTTCCAAATTCCAAGGAAACTTGGACAAAACTAAGAGATCATAATTATGGACCATGAGATAATATTCTCCACATAACAAAAAATGGAAAAATAAAGAGGCAAAGAGCGATCTACAGCACAGTAAAATTTACCTCATCAGGACCAGCGGTAAAAAAGTATATAAGATTAATAGATGAGAATCCAGTCTTTATGATCTTTGGGATGGCACTGCAATTGAATACAAGCAATTTCAATGATATGGTGAAATCTTAGGCACTAAACAGCCTGAAAAAATAATAAAAATATGACTGAGGATATTTATCGACATAAGGTAGTATTGCAAGACATTGATACGGAAACAAATTAGAGCATTTGCTCAAAAGAAACATAAACAAGCGTCAGAAACATCTCTAAACATGCATTAAAAAGTCCACAAGAGAGCATACAAGATACACTTGTTCGAAAAAATCAAAATTTTCACCACCACTTTTGAGTCTGAAGCCTGACCCCCATCTTGTGTTGACACATACATAAAAATATCTTTCTTCCTAGCGCCTCACTGTAATGAGAAAGCTTGCCAAAAAGGAAAATTAGGATAAATTTTCGCACTTGCCTCTGCAACTTGTTCTCCTCGCAATATTTAGCAGCTTCATCGTCTGGCATATCTGCAAGGTTTCTCTCTAAAGAACAGCTGAAAGGGATGATAGGCTCAGCCCCATGCTCTTGCACCCTAAAAACATTGAGCTGTTACTATTTTGACAGTATTCCTTCGGAGAAATACAAAATAAAATATCAAACAGCATCAATTGTCCATAAACATGTGCACTATCTGTTGATTAGAACCATCCATAGTTCTCTTAAAGTATAAGTAGGCATGTAGCAAAGCAATAATATTCCCTCTGATATCATGGGACAGACGATAAACCTGTCATCTGTCCATGGGCAAACACAGCCCGTCGGCAGTCCTTACATGACCTCTTTACTGCAGATAATATATTCAGAAAATATGTTCGCCATTTAGTTATTAACAATTCCTTGGTGGCAAGTTATGGTAATTTTTCAAACTCTAATATTAATTTCTAAAGTACAGATGACAATGAATAGATTTATAAGACATACAAACATAGATAACTACCTTGTTAGGATAGGTCAAGACAATTTGAATGCCTCATGTATATTTTTTATGAGATGCATTTTCCAAATCATCTCTCAAGTTCAAAGCTTGTTAATATGTGGTCTTAAAAGTCATCAGCATTAAAAGCTGTCAAGATAATTTAAATACAGAGTTTTGAGCGTACCAAGCATGTATCTTAGGTAGAAACTTGTTCTTTTTCCGTTGATAATCTCTCTCATTCATGTTAACCTGTTAGTAAATACAGAGAAAGATTCAAGTCAACGTTTGAATTCTTAATACAGGACTAAAACTGAAACACTCAAGCAAGATAAGAACTCGATAGTTTGTAAAAGGAAAAGGTAAACTTAACTCAGCGAATGACTAAAAGAATCAAGCATATAAATCTTTTTCGTAAAAAAAAAAATACAGCACTGAGAAGAGTTTAAGCAAATCAAGAATCATACCAAATATATCACAGGTTTGGCGGTCAGTAACTGAAAAGTGTTCAAAACTTCCACCTCAGCAGTTTTCCAATCACCCAGACGAATATCTTTCCCGTCAGTGACCCATGCTTTAAACTGCAACACAAGATTAAGATGAAAGTATCATAGGCTTTATCATCAACCTCGAAAATTCAAAAAAGAGAAAAGCAAACAATAAATTATAACAATCAACAAGCATTGAAATGGAATTGAAGGTATCTCCTTGGGAAAAAAAGATAATCACAATAATTGTCATTCACGTAAGAAATCTGATTAACGTCTGATTCTTGCCTCGTATCAACCAGATTTTCCAAGATGAGGCTGAGTCACATAATATTGTCCAATGTCTATGCAGACTGAATGCCCAGGGTTTGAAAATGAAAAGTCCAGAGCAAGGCAGCCCAATCTCAAGGGAAAGAACAAAGCTGTGATCTATATAGCATCGCCACACTAAATTTTAAATATGTTCTAAATGGAAGAATCCACGGAGATGCACATCTTAGATTGTTATCTCAGGTAAAGCATTTCAACAGAAATAAGAAGAGAACTTTTTGGCTTCAGAAATGACATGAAAATAGAGAATAAATTCGAGTTCGCAAATTTGGTGGACGAATTTACATATGAAACTGAATATGACACGTTGAAATGCAAATCCACAATATTTGGTACGGAAGAATTTTTTAAATTACTTCACTTTCATGAAACTTTGTGAAATAAAGACATGAAATATTGAACATTCCTCGTCTTAGACCACATATCTAACCTACTCAACTTGAGAAGAAAAATGAGGCCGTGTGTTGAACTAACCAAGTTAGCTAAGGTTAATTGAGATTAAACTGATTTTACATACACCAACCAAATCACAAAGAAGGAACTAAAGGGAAAACATAGAATACACTGAAATCAATTACCTTAGAGTAATTACTAAAGAAAAGTTAGCAAATTAAGCAAACAACAAATAATGATGAGAAACATGCAGGCACAACAAGAACAAGTAAGAGCAAAAACAAAAATGAAATATAAAACAATAATTCAATCAAAATTTGCACCGCCATGATTGCCATAGCCCGAGATAAGCAAATACGGGAAAAAAAACCTTCCCAACAAAGGGGGGCTCTCAGAAGTTCTCTTAATAAAAGATTAAAGAAAAACTGACATGATTTTGAGTTTATTCTGCTAGTTCTAAGAGCCCAGAACAACAGAAGACGAGCAGGATTTCAATGTCAAATCAAAGGTTTAAAATTAATGATCACCATTTCCAAATAAAGGTGCAGAAACTCCTAATTCTATGAAAATGCACTAACATTCATAACTCCTTGAAGCATTCCTATAATTTTCATAAACTACATGTATACGGGCTTAGATCCAAGAAGTGCAGGATTATTAACCCGAAACCATTTACGGGAAATCTGCAAGAGGCCATGTCAGACAATCGTTAAAAAAAATATTAAACAATATCTGCTTGTTCATAAAATCAGTACGAGAAAGATGACAATCATATACAAATAACAACGGAAGGGGGGGGGGGGGGAGTTCAGAGATGAACACATTGAGAGGCACAAAACTCTACATGATTATACAATCATCCATGTACCAAGCCATACGAAAAAAAATACATGCCAACCTTTTCGCAACACTCATGTTCAATTTTTAATTGTTTATCATTGCTTCTTTTCATGCTTTTCTCAAGATCTTCTAGCTTCCTTTCAATGAATTCCAGATCCTGTGATACACAAAAAGTGTGACGAAAAAGTTAAAATTAGTGACATCCTTCCATGTTGAAAATTAAATGACTGGCGTGTACACTTTTACAAGATAGCTACAGAGTCTTCCAGACGATGGAATTTAAACAAAAATGTAAGATAAAACGCCACAACGAAGCAAAGAACTGGTGATAGAATGAGCCGCGAGCAATTATAAGAGGAGAATGCCTAGCAACAATAGAAAAGAAAATTATAAAAAATCAACGTAAATAAAGTGTTTACAAATGAAACAGATATATATAAGACACTAAACTAATGAACTTCTGATTAATCATTCAAGGTGGAGAAATATGAAAAACTGATTAACAACAAGAACAGGGACGCAGTACATTGATAGATAGGTAGATAGACACAGAGATAGACAGATATATATATATATAGAGAGAGAGAGAGGGAGAGGGAGAGACCTGCTAAACAATAAGACTTACTACCCCTATCACTTATAAGTGTTCAGATATATAAATCACCTAATCTCCAAAATACATTAAAAAATAACCCTGGAAGAGTCTACTCAGTAGAATGATATAAACTTACAAAGACCCAAATCATTAAGTCTATATTTGTGTATTGGACAAAACGAATGGAGTACACAGATGAAGATCCCGGCCTGCATGTCCAACACTCACGTAAAGAAGCACTAGCAACTGGGAATCATGATAAAAATAAAAAGTAATTCAAATAATCAAGACATAAAATTTGCAATGAAAGCAGATACCTTTAGCCTAAGTTCTTCAGTAATAATCTCTAAATCTCTAACAGGATCCACCGAGTCATCAACATGAATTACATCCGGATCCTCAAATGCTCCTGAAAAAGTGAAAGATAAGCAAAAGATAAAATAGAAAAAGTAGCCATAAATTCTAGGGCATGGTCCAATAGTTTAAAAGTATATTGAGTAGGTCCACATTCAATGTCAATCCATTACGAACTGGTACAAAATATACTCACGATAGGTTCCAACTGGAGAAGGTTTGTCAAAAGTTTTAAGTCACTGATGCAGCCAATGGAAACATTATCAAGCACTGTGCAAGTCATGCTACCAAACAGAAACCTCAAGATTTTCTGGACTAAAAAAGATAATGAGAAAAGGAAGCAGGTGTAACACACAATGCTTTATCTTACTGGAACCATCAGCCAACAATAAAGAATGAAAACAAAAGCAAGCTTCTAGAACCTTAGATTTTATGACATAAAATCTACTTTATTGCCAAGTCTTGACATAAAGAACTGACTAAAATCTTCTTTGAAATGAAATGAAACAAATACGTATATTCTGACAGCATAGATTAGGAAGAGTGTCTCACATCCGACGGAATTTACAAAACCACAATCAATCGCTTAAGCAAACAGGATGCAACTGCGCGAACTCCAATCATCTGATGAAAAATTATCTTCGAGCATCTGTCTATCCATTCGTAAGGTTAGATAACGTCTTCAGAAACCAGCCCTAAAGGTCAACTCGAGCGTCAGTAGTTCCAATGAGGTTAAATGGTGTCTATTGATCAGAATTAAAGCCGCTTGGTAGGTTCAATACTGTATTTAAGTATTTAGACCAATTCATCAAAGACACTTCATCTTTCGTACTACTTATGCTTAAGCTATTAAATCTAGTAATCATGGATTCTCCAGTAACATATCTATGATATTAATTCTAGAAAGCTCCGTATCGATGATATTTATGTTAAACTTCGCAAATAATATATGCAAGTCAATATATTACCTTTGTTCGAGGTGAGTCCGTGATACATTCACATTTCTATAATAATAGCTGGCAGAACATTGTCTCACTCAAGATCCTTTCCAATCTAAATCTCCTCATTCATAGATGCACTTATACCACATTTAATGCAACAAATGTTAGAAAGAAATGTTAAAAATTCGTACCTAAGGACCTTTTCAGATAAAAGCATCAGGTAACACTACTGTCATGTAAATAACAAATACATTTAACTTGCAGCCATAATCAAACTGTAAAACCTCAGGGCTTTCATGGCTAAATACATGTAAGTTTGGGCGTGTTAATAAATTCTCAAAGAACACCTTCACAAACAAACTCAGGGCTTTCATGGCTAAAATGCTGATCAACAATCCAACAGTAACACAAAAAAATGGTGAAAACAACAAAATGGAGGATAAAGTACTTACTTAAAACATGAAAAATTCCATCTACAGCACGAATATGAGATAAGAAGCTGTTCCCCAACCCTTGACCTTCATGAGCTCCACGAATAAGTCCAGCGATATCATGGATTTCTAGGAAAGCTGAAACCTGCATATTATTCCACACACAATCATCATCATATGATAGAGGAAAGAGGCAGAGGTAACGTGGGCTTGGAGGTTGAGTTGGATGCATTAGTAGATAGATAGAAAGAGACAGAGAAACAGAGATAGATAAATGATAGAGAGATATACACGCACACAGAGTAAATCTATATTCACTTATTCATCCACTAAACTTCATTAGTGTGTTGTCAGATAGGAATCCATCAGTAATCAGACAAAATATAGTGGAGCAAATTACGAAGAATGCCAGTCAAATTAATGAGATTAAAGCACATCAGAATTTTTTAATTTTTGCAAAAAATACGATCCATGGATCAGACATAAACCTCATGGAGCCTAATTTCTACAATGTCCAGAACTATCATCATCCACACCAAGGGCATCCTTAGCCCTCGTCCCTCAAAGTAAAACTTCCTCAGGTTTCATCCTTACACTAATTGCTAAAAGTTTAATGTTCCACATAATCTTCAATTTTGAGCAATTGGTGATAAACTATGCTTTCTTCCTGAGACATCTGCAGCTTCAAGCATGTTCAACCATAAGGTGTTCACAAATTTCTTTCTTGAGCATTTAGGTTGATCTGTGCTGATCAACCAAACGTTGAGGAAAAGGGAGGAGAGATGAGGTATCTTGTTCAGGTTCATGCAGCTAACCTACCAATGTAGTCTCTCCGTGGAGTGGTAGTACAGAATTGGCAAGCAATGGACAAATGCAAGGAAACATCACCCAAAACATATTGTAAAATTATGAAGCAATACCTTTTTCCATCTGTCTACAGACGATATGGATCATGTATTTTCCCAACGATATTACTTTCATTAAATGGATCATGTATTTTCCTAGTCGTCAAAGTAAATTTATTTTTATCTTTTACCAACGATATTACTTTCATTAAATGTTTCCAACATCAAAATCTGCTATTTTGCAGAAAAATCGTTCATAAATGGTATCACTAATTTAAGTATATTACTGCGATATTGTCAATACATGGATACCGAAAAAGTAGCCTATTGTAGCTCAATTACAACATAAACAATGGAGTCACAATCGCAGAGACAATAATTATTACCAGACAGTCAATTTTTTCTAATTAATTCATCGTGGATTGATCACCACAAATAGCAACAATTTATATACTAACTAATATTATTTTTTAAAAACTAGCAAACTATCATTAGCATAGTGAAGATAGTTAAACACAGTTTCTGTTCAATGGGTTATGGAATTTGATTTTATTGTGGGATTAGTTATTTTCCATTCATAAGATTTTCTACGCAGATCATGTGTAGGCAGCTATTAGTAGCTAGTAGTGAATATCCACATGATTATATACCTGCAAAGCAAAGTTCAATCCTAAGGGGATTTATTCTTTTGTAAGGTCATTCCATTACATATGGGCAATCCCCAACTATAGTTTTGACATGCCTTATTTCAATTAGCAGCTTCTTTACGTTTTTCTCAATGTAGATTATCTTTTCACAATACTTATCTAATCAAATGCAACCTGACATTGGCGAATTAAGATAATTTAAAACGCATATATAACTCACAAATTTAAGAATAGGGTGATGAACTTCCGCCACGATTTTTACATTGAATTATTCGAAATGCAAGGCAATTAACTGGGTTTGAGATTCAAGTCATAGAAAAAATAATACTAGATCAATGCCTCTATAATTTCCAATCATTCCTCATAAAGGTCAAAACATAGAATTCCTTCAGAATTACTTATTTGCTAATAGCTATGTTCTTTAAACCACAAAATAATACCAGATTTATGCACTGAGAAATTTAAACTTTACAAGAGACTGTGTGCGTGTGTGTGTGGATTGTGTCATTATTCATCTATAATGACTTAAATTCTGCATGGTAATTAGCACAGAAAACTTCTCTGGTGCCAGCTAATAAGCAATTATATCATTTGGATACTGTTACAGATCATGCAGGCGGTCTTTGACCCTTCTGTAAGGAACCTTTTTATTCATGGGATTAGACTTTCACCCATCACACCAAACTTAATAAACATGAAAGCCAAACAAATATACAAAGAGAGTAGGTTTCAGGAACTCACACCAGGTTCCCATCAACTCCATCGTTTCATGAAGCAATAAGTTTTCAGGGCAACGAAGGTGTACACAAGGACAATAACAGAATGTTAATCCAGAAATTCATCAAGAACCATCCACTATGCATAGTCATGAGCCTAAAGAGACATAGTCCTTAGGGCAGGTTTCACGCACAGAAAACTGTTTATACTACTGCACAAATGACAAAATTTTGCTGTTTCCAGTTGAGGGGAAGAGAATGAAAATGCTATAAAATCACACCATTACAATAAATAAGGTTCTGAATTTTTGGGCAGAGATTTCCACCCGGTAACAAAAGAACATAGAAAGGTAAAAAAAAAATAGGGTATTATTCAGGGCAAATATTTAAATGTTCAGAAACAAACCTCACTCTTTGGCTTGTACAACTGACAAAGCCAGTCGAACCGTTCATCAGGAACATTTATCCGTGCTTCATTTGGTTCAATGGTACAGAAAGGAAAGTTCTCAGCTGGAATCGATAATTTTGTCAATGTGTTAAACAACGTCGATTTTCCAACATTTGGAAGCCCAACCTATTCATCAAGACAGATGACAGCAGTAATTACATGCATGATAAATATTTAAGTGAAATTTCAGTAAACTTAATTTAAAAAGAAGAATTAAAAAAGAATGGTCCAAAATCACATGGTTCTCCACTTCAAGTTAAACGAAATATCGAAAATTAAATAATATTCCTAACTACTTCAAAACCAAGCCATGATCATAGCCCAAGTTCCTTCAACGGAAAGACAATTACACACTTTGGTAACATACGAGGCCTAATCCTGCTGTAACACAGTGTCCAGTTTCAGTGATCAAACCCTTCATTGAAAGATCGAATTCGTTTCAGAAAAACTAAAACTTGATTTCCTTTCCGAGAAGGATATACATCATAATCTAAAACAGAAGTTCTACTTTTAACGCCTTCCGATAAAAATTCCCGGTTACAGCCAATCTCACTCTTTAAACTAAGGGGATCAGTCAAGTGACAAAGTGTATTCGGATCATTCGTAATATAGCCTACATTCCTACGTGGGTAGCAATTAAAGGTACAGTTCAACCATCCAATGTATCAGTGGCGAAAAGGTGGAGCAAGTTTAGCTCAAAATTCGCAGGTTCCAAAGGCTATCAGATTGCCCACGAGAGGCGCACATCAGCATCCGCCGTTCCTAAGTCACCGTTGACATAAAAGACTTTTTCCGCGCAAAGTAGGCACGGAGGAAATACGATAAATATCAAGAGCCGCCGCAGATCATGGAGACTAAATGAGCCACTCACGATACCAATCTTCAAGTGAGAGGAAAAGCGGCCGAGGATGGGTCGCTCCACGGGGGCCTCCTTGGATTTCCCGGCCTTGGGCGGCATCCTCGTCAGTTCTCAGCCCCTCCTCCAAGCCCCCTCCTCGCCTGAGAATTGATCGGGGACTATGGGGCGGATGAAAGCCAATCCGGTGGGCTGGGCTCTCAGCTGGAGGGGATCTGTAGTTATAAAGCGTTGCTCCCTCTACTTCAGGTTGCCGTCAACAGCGGGAAAAACCCTAGTTAGCCCCTACTCTCTTCCCCCTCACGGACTCTGGCCAGTCGGCTTCAGTCAAGCCCGGCCCCAATAGTAGACCCAATAATCCTAACCGCCCACCCCACCTCCTCTCCCCCTTGGAAATTGCGGCCACTTTAGCCTCTCTCTCTCTCTCTCTCTCTCTCTCTCTACATCAATGATTCCCCAACTATGTCATGACTTTTCACTTTCAAGTGTCAAGGCCCATCAACCAAGCCTCTCTCCACATTATCTTCTTACAAAACCTTTCTTCATTCTTCCTTTGATCCTTGACCTTCACTTCCCATGACATCAAGTGGCACTATTTGAGCATTGTTTCAATTCCCTTTTAGTTGTGAGACACCAAGAGAAAGCTACAAATTAGGCTCTGTAAAATAGCTTTTAAGTGACAATGTCAGCCTTGCCCACAATGGTGTGTTAATTGTAAAGGTGAGAGCTTAGTTTGTGACTAACAGTCATTTCCATACTTACCACTTCAAGGAAGGTTGATCTCAACTCAATGCTTACATGTTGATCACTTTGTTCTCAGTCTTGATTCTAATAAATTTTATTATCAAGTATTTGTGATATAACATCATTGCTACTTAGCACTCTCAATTAGTAGTGTGCACAAGGTTTTAGATAGCATATGGTAGTGTTATAGTCCTAATCAGCTCATATAATCTGATTAGCCAACTTTCAAGGTTTGTCCCTATAGTAACATCTTCAAAACGTTGGTTACTATTTAAGAGACTAAAGACATGTTTTTGAGGACGGTAACTTATAAAATAATTATTTGAGTCATACAAGTTAATCACTATCTCAATTAGACATAAATCTTGAGAGAGTGCATAGTCATTAATAAGGTCCATTCCTAATGTTGTTAATCCTTTATCGTTAATGGACATAACATGAGCTCCAATTTGAGCATCAATTCATATTTAATTAATTGTCATACTTTCTATGCCTTTACCTTATCAAGAACCTAATCATCCTCATTCTTCCAATGAAACAAATTATCCATTGAATATAAAATTATTTGAAACATAATATTATCCATGGTAAGTGAGTTGTGCAACCAAAATAATTAGTCTCTATTTTACCTATTGGGGGTCAAAGAAAAAACTATTTTTGGTGCTAAAGTGTCAACTTTGTCTAATTAAATCAATCTTTCTTCAATAAATAAAGTAAAATTTGTTGAGTTCGATGTGTCAACATAAGTTCTCTCATAATTATTTTTTTATGGGTATGAGTTTACTTAAGTCAATCTCTCTCTAAGTGGGTTCAATGTAGTCTCTCTTTCACTCATCACCATAAAGGATACAAAGAATTTTTATATTAGTTCACCCCTCATTGGGCTATATTTAGTCTCAAAGAATCCCTCCTATTAGAATTCACTATTTCTTTTCTAAAAATATAATTGATTTTAGGAAATCATTAAGTCAACTAATCTAGTCTGATCTTTGTAGATATTGCACTCCTCACATATAGAGTTTGACTTTTAACATCACATGTCTTAGACAAATAGATCAGTCTCCTCAAATACCACACCCTTCACGAACACTAATAAGTTCTTAGCACACTACACCTTAATGCAAGCCTCTCTTCACTCACCACCCAAGTATTTTAGTGCCCAATGAAGAAAGTCAACATTTGAAGCAATAGTTGACTTGAATTATTATAGTAGAGTGAAACATATGATGTAACTTTTAACTCTTTTTTTGAAGTATGCAAAGCTTTGTTTGATGGAGTATGATTTATCCTTGAGCTTGAATGAATGTGATGGGTAGATTTCTTCTTTCAACATTATCTATATTTTTTGTAAAAACTTTTCTTATAGTTTTCAATATCTTGTTGTCTTTTTATCAACTAAAAGATGGTCACATGAATTCAAATTTCTTCTCGTTGCTCTACTAGTGCAATAGTAACCTTTGTTTGTTTCTCAATTCAATATTGTTATTCTCACATAAGTCATCTTTGATACTTTGTCTAGAGATTCATGTATTCAACATATATTTCTACTTTCAAGGTTGAGTTTAAATAAGGTTGTTGAGCTTATCTTTTCTCCACATATTTTACTGGCATGTTATTATCTAAAATGTGCAGCACTATTCTTCGCTCATTCTTTATTTTGAGCCTTGTTATACATATACCAACTATGTTTGAAGCTTGGTATGGAGATATGTGATTCATTAACTATCACCTTTGCTTTTGGGGTTGACCTCAAAATTTTATTGAGCTTATTGTTATCTCCACATATTATGTCAACATGTTACTATCTAGAATATGTGGTGTTGACCTTAATTGTTCTTTACTTTGAAGTGTGTTGTTCTCACAATAGCTACATTTGAATCTACATTTAGAGATATACAATTCATGAACGATCGCCTTTACTTCTAGGGTCAAGTTAGAGTAAGTTTCTTTAGTCTTGTCATTTTCTCAACTTATTTTACTAACATGTAATTGTCTAGGGTAATATGTCATGCAAACATATTAGTTTAATCATTGTATATAACTAGAATTCAAATCTTGCATCAGCCATTGATCCTCTTATATTCCTTCATATTTCTCTTATCACTTTTTTTAGTGTGTCGTTGCTAAGGTCCCTATTTCAAATGTCATCAATGACTTTGCTTTCATGATTTCAAATATTTTGGTTGTTGTAAGTTGTAGCTGTTTGTTGCTTAAGTCTTGAGTTCAAATCATACAACAAAGTTCAAATACTTTGATTTTTCAGCTTTTTTTCTTATTGAGGCTTCCAACTTTCCATCGCTTAGGTTTTGAGTTTGAATCATACTAGTGACTTCATAATTCTTAATTTTTCATGAGGCTTTGTCATAAGTGTTGACATCTATTTTTTTATACTTAAGTCTAAATTATATAATATTTCATTATTTTCAATATAAAAATATCTCAATGATATCTCTTTGGATTTGTTGTTAGTCATATGATTATTCAAAAATCATTAATATAGATTTTTAATATTCCTCAAAAATATCAAACTTTAAATATAAGTCTTCATAAATTAATTGACTATTTAGTAAATAAAAATATATATTTGAAATAATCCTTAATTTTCATTTAGAAATGTTGAAACCAAATGTATCAACACAATTAGCCAATAGTGATAAACTAATTTCATTTCACACTACAATTCTCTTACACTATTTTCCATGTTCTAACATGAGGCAATCAATAATTACATGACACTTTTTTAGTTTACCCCCATTTTCGGTAATAAATAATTTCCCATATACCTTATTGATCATATGAATATTCATAAAAAATTATAGAAACATTTGTGTCAAAAAGTTATTTTCATGAATGTTACTATCTTGCTCTTTAGTTTAGAGGGATATGCATTTGAGATATAATGTAGTAAAAAATTATATCTAATCATAAACACTTCACTAATTTTTTTCCATCTTTTAGAGAAAAAAATACATCAAAGTAGATCTCATGAGATAGCCATCCATGTGAGTCCTTAAAGACATTCTAAATTTCTTCCAAATATCTTCTCAAGTTGCTTTGGTCAAATTCAATTATCTCAATTTCATATATCTCTTCTTAGCTTTAAGATGGTTAATTATATTATAAAGTTTTTGATGATGCAAAGCACACATAAGATAAATAAGTAGTTGAATTATGCTAAATATTCATTATATAGCAGTGCACATGAGAGATCTTTTGAACTCTTGCTTAAATATAATTAAATAAAAAGTTAGTTAGAATACATATTAATGATGCCAAATATCTAAAGGACATTTCAAGGAATTTACTTGACTCTCATGTTTTTATTATGGATTTATGACGAACTTACCATCTGAATCCTTACTTTATTTATGAGTGTTGAAATTATAAATAGTTATGAAAAACATCATGGATGAAATATTAAATTATATGCTAGATATCAACGATTTGAAATTATTACTCACAATCATTTTAGATGATAATTAATTGACTGAACCTAACCAGGATAAATGGCCTTTTAGAATTTGAAAAATGATTTTAAAATTTGATAATAAAAACATTAATGATGTCATATATTGAATAGATTCAATATGTCTACCTCATGTTCACATTTTATTTTAGGTGATTTGTGTCAATTCGATTGTAAAATTTGTTACCTTACTAAAAGATATGTTTATGAATCTACTCTATTGATAGAGGATTCTTACTAGTTACACCTAAACTAACTACTTCATATAAATATGCTAATACAATTACATTTATGTTTAAATTTAGATGATATCTAAATAGTTAAAAGTTACATTGTATTGGTTTCTAACCCTCTGAATTTGTAACTAATTTTATAATTTTTATGTTGAGTAACAACATAAAATATAGTAAATTGCAACTCAGATTTCTTTATAAATTCAATCTCTCTCTAGTGGCTAAATACACCCAAGTTAACATCCTTTACCTCTCAACACTCTTGAATTTCTTTCTTACCCATTTTTCTGAGAATTATTCATAAATTTGAGAGATCTTCAAAGATTGTTCAAATAACAAGAAGATATTGAGTTGGGCAGTAAAATTCAATTCAAATGTGACCTTCAAAATTATTGTAAAGACAAGCTCTTCATCAACTATATAGCTTCCTCACAAGAATATGAAAAAGGAAATCAAGTGCAATTCAAGTTCAGTAGATTTTTGGGTGGGTGTGATTCAAGCCTCCATCAAATTCAAGAGAAAATTTATAGCAATATTTTCTTTATATTGTACATGATAAACTTATAATTAACTCAACTTAATTAATTAAGAGAGTTGATTTCTATAATCAGTTTTAGCCTACCTAAAGTCATGAATCTATAATAAAATTTTCAAGTGAATTTTTATGGGAATTGTGCTTGCTATTAAGTAGATGTTAGCTAAACATTTAGTTTAGTGGAACTCAAGACTATGGTATTTTTAGAGAATGGATGCTGAAAGGGGTTCAAATTACTATAAAAATATTTGAGTATTTAAGATTTCGATCTAAGAAACTCAAGAGAATTTAAGATCAAAGGAAGAAAATCAAGAAAATTCAAATAATTCAAATTGTGATAAATTCAATTCAACCCCGTTCTTGACCTAAGTTCATCCTTAAATCCAATTAGTTGTATTATAGTCTAATATTTTAATAGGAAAGAAATTTATGCGAAATAGATCCCAAAATGATCAGCACATCTGAAAAGAACATGAGAAATAGCTATATCTAGAGACTTTTTTTATTTAATAAGTTTATCTCTCTTTTTTGGAAATATAGATCAAAATCATTTCTCAAGTTTTTGATTATTAGTTATGAAAAATCATTATGGATGATCCATTAGAGATTAAGGATATATCTATTCATCAATGTAAAAAATATTATCATTGAATGCAAAATTTAACAATATTTTTGTATGTGGATTAGATTTGAAAGAATTTAATAGTATTTGGACATGTCATTCAACAAAATAGATTTGTGATATAGACTTTAGGTAGTTTATGAAGGAATAAATATAGTTTGAGAAACTAAGAGTTATCAACTAGCTCACAAATATGAATTATTTACCATGAATGAAAATAAAAATTTCTAAAATATTTGATAGATTTACAAATATTATAAATCGCTTGAAAAATATCAAGAAAATATATTCACCATCTGAGATGAATATGAGAATTTTGGATATCTTTAACTCCCTCATAGAGATGAAAAGTGACAATGGTTGAGGAAGCAAAATATCTAACAAAATTGTCTCTTGGTAATTTATTAAGATCATCATTAATGTATGAGATTAGGTTAGAAAAATTCATAAAACATGTAGAGAAATCCAGTAGAAAATCTGTTACTTTGAAATATTGAGAAGCTTGTGATTGAGATAAGAATCCCAAGTGCCTCATGGGGACCAACATAAGACCTGATCTCATGGGTTCTATATCTTTGGAAAAAATGAAAACAAGCTATTAATGGAAATTTTTGATTAAGATGAATATTAAAATGTGTCGTTGAAACCATCCAGTGGTCTTTTACGTGTTATATTATTTTTTTATTAGTAAGAAATGAATTGCAAGATTACTAAAAAAGAGGCTCCAATAATCCATCCGACCCAGCTCATGGGGATTCGGATGCCGAATCCATGTGTTAGATTTATTTTTAATTTTTTTTAGTTGGGGTGGGAGGGAGGGGGGTGTGGGGGGTGAGTCCAACTACCTTCGGATTCTTATCGGTTAAGCGATACCGAACCGATAAAGCCCCAGAAACGTTCGCCGCTTGCTGGCTTTTCGTGAGGAAAGTTGGAGTTGGCGGAGGAAGCGGGAGCAGTCGGCAGCCATGGCGAAGGGGGACGAGGAGGACTTCCGGGGGGAGATCGAGGAGAGGCTGATCAACGAGGAGTACAAGATATGGAAGAAGAACACACCCTTCCTCTACGACCTAGTCATAACCCATGCCCTCGAATGGCCGTCCCTCACCGTCCAGTGGCTGCCCGACCGGGAGGAACCCCCCGGGAAGGACTACTCCGTGCAGAAGCTCATCCTGGGGACTCACACCTCGGAGAACGAGCCCAACTATCTGATGCTTGCTCAGGTCCAGCTCCCCCTCGAGGACGCCGAGAACGACGCCCGCCAGTACGACGACGAGCGAGGGGATCTTGGCGGATTCGGGTGCTCTAGCGCCAAGGTAATTGTGCAGATCAGCAGCAGCAGTTGCATGATCCCTTTCTCTTCCCTTTTTACGCTTCTTTTTATCAGTAGTTGTTTTGGATTCAATACGTAGGTTTGAGAGATGAAAAGTGGCGTTCCGTAACGCCGAGAGGCCGGAGTTAGTTTTGCGGGGAAGATGGATAATCGAGTTCCAAGACTTGTGTTTCATTTGCACTGTGGTTTTCTTTTTTGCTTCCTTCTTTCGCCCGATGTTACCCTATGATAATACAGCAAATAAAGGAACAACGGTGCAAATGTGTGTGAGTGCCGTAGGAGAAGAAGAGTTTAGCGCTGGATTGTCTTTGCATTCACATGGCCAGATGGTGACTATGAAGCGCCTTTGTCATATGTTTCCTGATTGATCTTATTTTCCAGATCATCTTCAACAGTGAACAATTATAGAACTTAGGGTTTTTTCTTCGTTGCACCGGAAGAATTCTGAGTCCCTGGCTGGTGTGGAGATTGGCATGGCCGTTCAGCTACTTCTAAGTAAATTAAGCTGCCTCTGTGATTCGTGTAGAGGTAGACTCGAATTAGCATAAACCTAAACACTTTACATAACATAATGTAGATTGTTTGCATGATTAAACAGACAAGTCGTGCGGAAATATTTATATTTTTATGTATCCTGAGACGATTTTAAGCAATTTTAAGCGCTTTGATCGGAGTCTTTATGTTGAAGATGACATCTCTTCAGTTTTAGTCAGGGACTGATTTGTTCATGCTCCCTAGGTTGGTGCATCTTTTGGAGAATCCTTACCCAAAGAATTTGTATGACTCTCCCATGTTTTTCTATTAGCCAACCAGTAGACTCTGTTAAGTTGGATGAGCAGTTAGGCCTAGCAAAATTTATTAGAAAGAATGTTATGATGAGAAGTCGGTGATGAAACCTATATATATAGGGTAAGGTGCACGTGCCATGTGTGGAATTAATTGGGCATGGTAGGTGTTGGTTTGCATGCTTCAGATGAGGGGGAATAAGTCCATATTGAAGAAATCAGGAGGACCAGATGGACATGGGCTAAATTGTTTTTAAGGGCAGATCTCATGGTTCTCAATCTCAGATCCAATGTTTCTTCATATAAAGCTTTTGCAGGAAGAGAGTAAGTGGGGACAACCTGTACTATTGACTTTGAACTGCAATATATAATCTTCAATTTTAATGTTGCTGAATATGAGTTTCGGAACAGTTGTGCTCATCTTTTACCCTTTTCAGTTGATTGTTATCTCATTTTTTATTTACGTTTATAATGTCTCTTTGTTTCACTTTTTCTCTTCTTCTTTTTTCTTTCCACTTTTGGATGTTTTGCTTTTTTAAATCATGTATGGTGTTATTTAAAAACCTTTAAATCATCTTTCTACTTTTTCCACCTTTTATCTTTTTAAAACCTTTTAAAAGCTATTACATAAAATAGCTTAGCTCGAGGCACATCAAGTGGGGTATTAAATGGTGAGTCTACAATCCGATCAAACTTTTCACATGCATGTAGTGAACCCTAAATACCATCTCCCATATTAATTCCAACTAGTAACCCTAGGCGGGAACACTGTTAATTGTCATCATTTGTTCTAATTGTGCAGCTTATACGATAATGATTGCTTTTGTTTTCTGTCCACAGGTTCAAATAATTCAACAGATACACCATGATGGAGAGGTCAACAGAGCACGCTACATGCCGCAAAATCCTTTTATCATTGCAACAAAGACTGTTAATGCAGAAGTGTACGTGTTTGATTACAGCAAGCATCCCTCAAAACCACCCATGGATGGTGCATGCTCTCCTGATTTGAGACTGAAGGGTCACAATTCTGAAGGATATGGTTTATCTTGGAGTATTTTTAAACCAGGCCATTTATTGAGTGGTTCTGATGACGCCCAAATATGCTTGTGGGATATCAATGCAACTCCAAAGAATAAGATTATTGATGCTCAGCAGATCTTTAAGGTCTCTAATGTTCATCAATCATCTTCCCTTCATGAAATTTTCCATTTTATCATCGCGTTGGATAATTGTGGTCGTTATGTATCTAACGTTTTAGACTTCTAATGTTTTATTTTCCTTTAGTATCCAATTTGATGTACTGTACTTCCTAGCCAATGTAATTGTTTGGGTATGCTATTTATGAGAGAATATATGGGTCCGAAATTAAGTTCTTTTTCAGTGACACATTTTAGTAAATCAAGTTTCCTAATTATTTAAGTCACGTACAGAAAACTGTCTTTCATGGGTCAATATAATTTCTAATAATTTTCGAGTGCTTTTACTTCGATTTTTTTTTCTAAATCCAACTTTGCTTATTCTCTCAACAGGAAATGTCATAACGTGGAATTTTAGGGTTCTTCTTTTTTGACCGCATTATAAATTATGTTGAATCCTATAACCTCTAAGATAAATAGAGGCAATAGAAAATTGCATGCTTTGTTATTTTCCCCTTCCATGCCCTTCACTGACCCTGGCAACATCTTGCATAGTTTTGATCCTGAACATGCGTAAATTATGCTTTTGTTTTTAATTTTGCTATCCATCCCCTTCGCCAACTCTTGCAAGATCTCACTTAATCATTGCAAGGTCTTTGGAGAATATGGAATGAAAGTGCTACTGCAGATTAGTTGTCCTCCCTATAAAACTGTTTCTTTAGCATTTTTTACCGACACTGGAGCATAAAAAATGCTTATGTTCAATCAATCTTCACCAATCACTGTATTTTTTGAAGTATAGAAAGTCCCCAAGTATGCTAAACCTTTTATTAAGTTATATAGGGGGGTATCTAAAAAAAATAAAATAACAGTCATATATAATCTTTGCCAATCATCCTATTTATAAAATGTAGCGAGTACCTGATTACAATAGTTCTATTATTAACTCGTATAATGCTCTTTTTCTGAAGTCAAAGGATTTAGTGATAAACTTATTACTCTGCAATCCGTGAATACTATCACTGAGAAGGAAAAAATTCATTTCCAACTTTTATTCCATGTGTAGGCCCATGATGGCGTTGTGGAAGACGTTGCATGGCATTTGAGGCATGAGTATTTATTTGGTTCAGTTGGTGATGACCACCATCTATTGATATGGGATCTGAGGGCGCCCTCACCAACCAAACCAATCCAATCCGTTGTTGCTCATCAAGGTGAGGTGAGTATATAATGTTCATACTCAATCCTCCCCCTCTCCCTTTGTTCGGAACTGACGTAGGCTTCTACATTCTCTAACTGATTTCTATGAGAATTGACCAATTATTGCCCAGAAAAGCATGAATAATGTGTTTATCCATACTTATGTTGGAGGGTAATAATTTGCCCATGTGTCTTCTTTTTCCAGGTCAACTGCTTGGCTTTTAACCCTTTCAATGAGTGGGTCGTTGCCACTGGTTCAACTGACAAAACGGTTAAGCTTTTTGACCTCCGCAAGATCAGCACTGCACTCCACACCCTGGATTGCCACAAGTAAGCCTGCTTCCTCCATTTTTCCTGCTGATTATCTTTTTTTAATGAAGTTAATTTATTAATCTCCCACTTATCTTAGTCTCCATAAATGGGGAATCATTTATTTAATGCGGCAATAGATTATAGTAATATCCAGTAAATCGAAACCGTTATATGTTCGACAAAAAAAATTATGTTAGACTCCACAAAATTTAAACCTTTTTTTTTTTTTTGTTTGATGTAGCAATAAACTATGCTAGTCTCCTGAAAATTGAAAACTTTGCCTAATGTGACAATATATTATGTTAATTAATCTCCAGAAGATTGAAACCTTTATTTTGTGGAATAATGAAAACAGGGAGGAGGTCTTCCAAGTCGGATGGAACCCGAAGAATGAGACGATCCTCGGTTCCTGCTGTCTCGGGAGGCGGCTCATGGTCTGGGATCTTAGCAGGTATTTCTCTCAAGCCCAGCCTCCGTTGTTGGCATTTCATCTGAAAAAGATGCCGTCTTAGTTTCGTGTTCTTCCTAGAGCTTTGACTATGCTTGGCCATGGTGATTCTAACTGGCTAAGACAATCTTATCAGACTGTCCTGATCTTTTCCAGACCAGGGTTGATATCCCAATTACTTTCTTATGTTATATTGCCTGATTTTGGTGCTTTTTCCTTGTGAAAATTACGTGGTTTTCAACCAAAATAAACTAAACTAATCTAAAAATTTAGAAAAACAAGACTGGGGGGTCAACGGGCTGACTACGGGTCTCACCATCGACTCCTCGCAGTGGATTGAGCTTAATAGGGTCAGGCACAGAGACCATTGTCGGCCGGGCCTGGCCTGGCCCGTTGACTCCCTTGCCGTCTTCCCTGCAATTGATTTTTCTTGAGACCAGACATGAAATGCTGATGCTTTTTGTGTTGGCAGGATCGACGAGGAGCAGACACCAGAGGACGCAGAGGACGGGCCACCGGAGCTGCTCTTCATTCATGGCGGCCACACGAGCAAGGTCTCGGACTTTTCGTGGAACCCCTCGGAGGAGTGGGTCGTGGCTAGTGTCGCAGAGGACAACATCCTCCAGGTCTGGCAGATGGCCGAGAACATCTACCACGACGAAGACGATCTACCCACCGGCGAACCCGCGTCTACCCCCACAAAGGGCCCCTGATGTCTTCCTCCTAAAGCTTTGCCTTTTATATATAGTAGCTACCCAACACTAGTTCTTAGCTTCTCTCTCTCTCTCTCTCTCTCTCTCTCTCTCTCTCTCTCTGAACCTTTGCTGTGTAGTAGTCGTTTGAGGGTTGACCATAAGCAGTGGTTTCTTGCTCTCCTTTTAACCCACCCCCTGTCTGTCCTTCCCGCATTGCTTACACCGTTAACTAATACGCTGTTGTCCATCTCTGTCTCTCTCTCTCTGATGAGCAGTTGTCTACGTGGAGGCTTAGTATCGTTCTATCCATGTTCAACAATGTTGCACGTCCCTCTTCCGATTTCCCAAAGTAATATGAAAAATGTGGAATTATAAATGCTCAAATGATTTTTGATGATCGTAAATAATCTCATAATTCGCTGGCATAATTAAGACATTTACCATTCGAGACGGCGTAGAAAAGGCAAGACTTCCAGCAGACTAGGGAGGATTCTCCTGGGCCCGACAATGATCATCTCATCCGTAAGGAGTGATTAGCACAATCACATAGCAATATCATACCCCATTGTCAACCTCTCTGCTGGCCCTCATTGTCAACGCTTTTACCAAAAATAAGAGTCAACGCTGCAAAATATAATGTCCGGCAATTCCGAGGGAGACGGCAGAAAACAGGGACGCCGACGTACGAGCCGCGAAAAGATGAGTCCAGAGCTCGGACGGCGTAGAGTTGACCCCATGGCTTGGCGCATCATTCCTAGAAAAGCGAGCCGAAGAGGATGACCCGTCTCCCTAGATTCGAAGCGGTGACCTCCCACCAACTTTCCGGGAATGCCCATCATAGGAAAGTAACAAAAATAAGATTAGTAGAATCCCGAAAATATCCGTGTTTATCTCCAAAAGAATAATATTTTCTTTTTCTCTTGAGTGATTCTTGGTCAACCCTTCTTCTCAAGATCTTAAATGCTACATTTCTTGGAAGAAAAGCTAATAAAGAGCAAACTGTTTTCCAAATTTGTCAAATTTCGGCCCCTACTGATTTCTTTTTTATTTTTTGAAATGTACTGTTATTATTTTCTTATAAATTTGTTGTGTTCGGATTCCCATCCCGCGTCCCCCTTACCCCCCCTCCGCGGCGGCGGCCATTTGTTATCTGGTCTCGTCCTCCGTCAGCTCTGCTCCGACTTCGGCAAAGGGCGGCTGCGTTCGAAGGGGTGAGGGTTTGTGGGAGATCACCAGGAGGGGTAGGGAAGTTGTGGTGGTGAGGGAGACGGAGATGAAGAGGTACAGTAACGGGGCGATGTGGGACTCTAATGAGGATGGAATTCCGGTGATCGACGGGGGGGACGGGGTCGTCCTCGGAGTCGATGGGGGTACGACGTCTACAATTTGCGTTTGCTTAGCCGCGTCCGCTGTTTTCCCTGACGGCGGCCTCCTGGCAGATCCGTCGCCGGTGCTGGCCCGCGCCGTCGCCGGCTGCTCCAACCACAACTCTGTGGGAGGTAATAGAGATGATTTGGGATTTCATAGTAAGGAGAACTGAGAGCTACAATGCATTTCTGCTAATGGCTTAATGCTGTATGTCCCTGATCTTACATGACTACGACCTTCCCTCACGTTTGACTTTTGATTATTGGCCAATGCTTGTGCAGAAATGGCCGATTTCATTGTCTATTTCACCGAATCTTGTTTTTTCCACAACATTATGTTTGCATCTATCCTGGTTTTGTTTCCTCACATGCCATGTGGCTTTCTTCGTTGACATGTTCTTGATCTTTTTATCTGTTTTCTTCTTCGGAGAATTTGGATTCCCCTGTAATTTATGAACATGTCGTGCTTTTTTCTCTTCGATCTCCCAATTGGAAAATTCTCCCTTTTCCATACAAGCGGGTACTTATTTTTTTCTCTTGGTTGTAGATGCTTTGAATAGATGAATTAGTGTTATTTCTGCCCTTTCCGGATCCTATCGTTATTCTTTCAATGTTAATTTCAGTTTTGATTTGAAAGGGTGGTATGCTTTCGTGAATTGGCGAACTTTTCACTACTCCATTGTCCGGTTTAGGCGTGGATCATACTATTACTGCTGTTCTCTTTAACCCTGCTTTAGTTCTGTTGACTTCGCTAGTTCATTGTTTCTTTCCGTTTTGGGATCATTATGTGCTTGGTCATTTGCATGATCTCTTGCATGTATATGAGTTAGAAATCTACTTAAGATTGGACTTCTGCCTGTATCTTTTTTTTTTAATGAAAGTTCCTATTAGTTATCTAACTGTATCTTTTGCACATCTATGCTTAGTTGAATTTATGTAGACATTGAGCAGATCTGAAGACTGCCTCTGTATGGTACTCTGCAGAAGTTGCCGCCAGGGAGACACTAGAACAGGTCATGTCTGAGGCCCTTCACAAGTCCGGCCGCAGCCATTCTGCTGTGAAAGCAGTTTGCCTTGCTGTATCAGGCGTGAACCATCCTACCGATCAACAAAGGGTTGTGGATTGGCTCAGGTTTCTTGCTCTTATTTTTTCATGGGTTTTAGATGTTGATATCCCCTGATCTTACAGTGTTTATGTGTCTTGGCAAAAATCTTTGAATTATTAACATATTATTTTGCCTTTTGTTGCCAAGAGGTTGAAAAAGTCCTTCCTACCCCAACCAAGTACTGGAAGGATTACTTTTCAGTCAGTTTGGTAACCAATTGTGGCCGTCAATTGCCAATAAAATAATACTTTATATCTCACATGCGTTCCTCTAGATTATTTGTTTAGGTTTCTGGTGTCTCGACTTTCCTTTTTTGAGAAAGTACAATCAATAATAAACTACATAAACTAGGTAGTTAGAAAAAATAAAGCCACAAAGAACACTATCGGATGCTTTAGTTCTGAATGTTTTATGATTCATAGTTTCATAAATAACGACTGCTCAACTTGTTGATTTTAAGTCAGCGCGCTTAATTTTAATTTTTCATTCAATTTGCTCGGTGTAAGTACTTGAAATATTAACAATGTTGCCTTCATTTCAAGTGGTCTCGTCTCTTAGGCCAAATATTATATCATCTTCAGAATGTCATAACTTAGCTTAATATTTCTGGGCCATCTTCTCGTTGCTAACATCTATCTCTATCAATTCTGCTGCGGGTATTTTTTTTTATCTCTGAATCTTTGGCTCCCATCTTGCTTCTCTCAGAAATTTATTTCCTGGTCGTGCGAACCAGACCACTCGTTATTTATGAAACTAACAAGAGAAAATTGACTAATCATAACACATTCATCATGCAAGCACCCACCCCATACATTGTATTTCGTCATCAGAAGGCTTCTATTTTGAGGATTAATCTCCTTGTTCATAGTATTTATTTATAAAAATCCTACTGCTGGTATTTTGTTTTTTTCTGAACATGTGGCATCCATCTTGCTTCTCTCAGAAATGTATTTCCAAGCCATGTGAAGCTCTTTGTGGAGAATGATGCTGTGGCAGCTTTGGCCAGTGGGACTATGGGAAAGCTCCATGGCTGTGTCCTGATTGCAGGCACAGGCTCCATTTCCTATGGATCCACGGAAGATGGAAGGGAAGCCCGAGCAGCTGGTGCTGGTCCCATCCTGGGTGATTGGGGAAGGTTAGCATTCTCAACTCTTTTCCGTGCAAGTCGGCCAATTATTCGTAGTTAATCTCAAGCACTGCTGCAAGTCGTGTCCATATTTCCTCCCAGAACTTTTTATAGTTGTCATATCTTCTTTCCCCTTATTTCACAACCTGCACACCACGTCTATCTCCATACTCTCGTGGTAAAAAAAATTCAACGAACCCTTGCTATTCCTAAAAGTCAAGCTCTCCTTATCCTCAAATGGCTGCAAACCTATGAAAATGAGGTTCGGATTGGGGCGCACACATGGAATGATACTGCTATATTTTTATTTATTTATTATAAATGCAGAAATTATTCTCCTTTTTTTTAGGTGGTAGTTAGCATAGGAGGGCTATATGTAATCCAATACAATGCAAAGCAATCATGTATTTAAATCTTTACTGTAGTATCAATTGACAGTCTCAGACAAAATACATGATTGCAGTGGATATGGAATTGCTGCACAAGCATTGACAGCAGTGATGAGGGCACATGATGGTCGTGGACCTGAAACTAGACTTACCCAGGACATCCTCTGCGAGCTCGGGCTTGGATCTCCAGAAGAACTAATTGGGTATGTGTGCAGTAATTTCCATTGTACGACACTCAATTAGGAATTCGTTTTTCTTTTCGGGGGAGACATTATTTCCTGTCCAGATTCCTCTTTTGGACTTTGTCTTCAAGTTTTATTGGGCCCCAAGAAGATCTTCCTCTAGACTTTCTGGTTCCAACCAACTGCAGGAGTTGTGTATCGTGACAAGACTCTCATAGGAATAGAAGTTGTTTCGTCAAAAATAACACCTACTGCTGATTTTAATCTGGGTTAGGTGGACCTACGCCGATCCTTCTTGGGCTCGAATCGCAGCTCTCGTTCCAGTGGTGGTATCTTCTGCCGAGGCAGGGGATCCAGTGGCTGACAAGATATTGCAGAACGCTGTGGTAGAGTTGGCTGCCAGTGTAAGAGCTGTTGTCCAAAGACTTGGACTATGTGGAAGAGGTGCGATCGGCCTGCTGCAATCTGAGACTTCCTCTAACAAGATTTATTGCTCGTATTTGGTAATTTTTTTCTTATATGGTTGATGCTTGAGATAGATATTTTCCTGCAGATGGAAAGGGCTCTTTCCCACTTGTCCTGGTCGGTGGTATTCTTGAAGCCAACAGGAGGTGGGATATTGGGAGAGAAGTTTTAAACCATGTGACCAAGGACTTCCCTGGAGCACATCCAATCAGACCAAAGGTCGGCCCATTCAGCCTCAAAAATAATTTATTCAATGGCAGCCCCCTTTTTTTTTTGTTAATGTTCACAAGATCACTGTAAAAAGATAAGGTGGGTTTTATTCTGCATAATTCATCTCAAAACCTAGAGCAAGAATATGGTCATTCTGGTGAAGAAGTATGGGCAGGTCTTTGGAGTTGCAGGGAGAAGGAGAGGAGGGTGTGAGTTATATTTATGGTTGTTAATGGGCCGAAAGTTGCCCTTATAATTTTCGCAATAACTCACTTTAAAAAATATTATCGAGTGATTTAAATAACTCACTTATAAATTGCTCCATGGGTTTGCTTCACTCTTCTCAAGTACATTGAAATCTGATCCAATTCCCTCCTTAACAGATATACTTTTTTTCTTTTTTGTAACCTATGCCTAACAACTCCACCATAGTTCTTCCTTCTCCCTTCTTAAAATTCTTAGAACTAATCATTCGATTCGATTAGCAGCCCATTTATGTATAAATCTTCTTTTAGCTGTCAAAGTTTACATGGTGCTCTGCATGCTTCTCGATCTATATGATTCTTCCTCCGAGAACACACCTACAGATCACAATTTTGTCCTCTTCATTAGGTGGAGCCGGCTGTCGGGGCAGCATTACTGGCGTGGAACTCTGTCAGAGGAGACTAATGGCGATCGATTTCCAGGTCAGCTATTGTTAATTTTTTGAAGGCATTCATTCCATTTTTCTGAAGAAAAAATTGAGCCAATCAGCCAGAGAAATCCCCCATTGGGGTTGTGTAGTTTGGGCTCTCGTGTTTGGCTCATTTTATTTTTATGCCTCTCTGTTTGTCATTATCATTAATTAGAAAAAAAGCCAAGTGGGGAGAAGAAATGTACAGAGAAAGAAAGTCCAGTCTTAATCTCGATCGTTGACTGTGGATTCTTTTATTTAATTTCCTATTATGTGGGGGGGTATTTCTGACTCCGTTCATTATTTAGTCAGAAAAATCGAGAAAACGGAAGTATAGCGAGAGAGAGAGAGAGAGAGAGAGAGAGAGAATCCGGCCTTAATCATAGTGTTTATGATCTTTCAAACCTTACACTTATTGATCGGGTTTTGCTCATTTTAAGAAGCCACGAGCTGTCTGATTTGTCAGACTCGCCGGCCCGGTCCCTTCAGAAATAGGCCCGGGAGTAATACTTGGCCCGGTCCGGAACTTATTCTGCTGGGGTCCGTCTTAGATGACGTTACCCTTATGTGGCGGCTAGTTCTATAATCCGGGCTTTTATCTGGGCGTGAGCTAGCTACCCGTTTCGTCAATTCAGGCCCAGCTTGTGCCAGCATTCATGAAGGGTAGTAGATTTGTGGAGTGAAACCTTAGACCTACCCCAGTTACGACCAACGGCCACCAACATCTTCATTTACAGAATTGTCCCTTAGATGTAGGGTGTCAACGGGTGGGGATAGGCTTGGACGTCTCCAAGTTCGGCCCGGGCCCGAGCCCAGTCCTCTATATGCATATCTCCTCTTAAATATTTGTAGAGAGAGAGAGAGAATTTTATGGACTTGATATGAAAGCTAGAAGACAATTGTATGAAACTCTGAACTTATGGTCTATGTCAATTATGTCTTGGTCGGAACGGTCCAAATCTTTCTGAAATTTTGGATAGACATGGATGAGAAACACCAGCATCCATTCTCTCTCTCTCTCTCTCTCTCTCTCTCTCTCTCTCTCTCTCTCTCTCTCTCTACAAGGGTCTATTCAACATAATTTCTTAAGACTAGAATGGGCACAAGTCAAGAACCCCTGTCCGTCTCTCTCTCTCTCTCTCTCTCTCTCTCTCTCTCTCTCTCATCTTCATCATCATCTTTTCCTCGGATAGGATAGGGCAAAAAATATGATCACAAAGACCACCATAGTTCCATGAGGAGTGCAAAGTTTCTGTTGAAGATAATCTCTAAATACCACCATCTCTCTCTCTCTCTCTCTCTCTCTCTGCTCTATAACAAGGAGCTGTTAGACATCTATAGTGCCTTCTAGTCACCCTGTCTACAATTACAGAGGGGCACAAACATCATCTCTTTTTTACAGTGCGTTCTAACAACAGCAGTACTTGTGAGGATGGTGATAATAATAATAATAAATGAATGAATAAGAAGTCAACCTGTGGAGACGAACCCTATCACTGAACACCATGTACAGCGCGGAAGGCAGAGCTGCACCAAGTCTTCCCTTGCGGAGTGTGGCCGCCGTTGCTCGCCGGAAATGGGGAAAAAAACGAGACGAGAGAGGCCAGGCATCACTCATCCGCCGTGGGCCGGGTCTCCCTGCACACATCCTTCAGCTTTCTCTTGACCATTTCCAAGACCTCCACGACCTGCGACCAGAAAATAATACCCGTGGATTAAGTCGACAGCAAAAATAACATGGAATCGAAGTGGGCAGATCCATGGATGAGAAGAGCTCTTAGTCAGGCTTAAGAGCACTAAACTTAAAAACGCACTGCTTTAGTAAAGAAAAGAACTCCGTAAGATAACCCCGAATTATTACTGAGCAAAACTAAAGAGGGCACAAGAAGGTTTCACAGAGCATATAACTATCTAGATCCGATGAAGGCACAAACATGGTGCTTCAATGGAAAATAAAAATAAATAAATAGAGGTTTCTAAAGAGAAAAAAAAACTCAAAAATCATATTCCGAAGTGAAATTTGGACTTACACCGGTGTAGTGTTGCAGCACAGGAGAGTAATGATCGAGGGCGATGCAAACTTTTTCAAGAACGCTTATGAGATCATCCACTTCATCGCCTAAGCGGTCAACCTGCATTCAAAGAGCAAGACCCGTTGGACAGTTGGCCAAAGGCAAAGGCAAAGCGGTCTCTGTACCACAACTGGAGAACATACATCCAATCGACATTCAATTAAAATAATCTTCTTCAATGGAAAATAACTAAGCAGAAAACCCAAAATGGGAGTCACGAGGTAATGAGAATTCCAGTTCAGAGTGTCTTGTTCCCTTTTCTTCACCCCTTTCTCTATTCCCCAACCAATCGACTGAGATAAGCTCTAATATAGACTCCAATGCTTCTCACATAAAAAAATGAATTCCCTATGGTTATACCTCATTTTCTGCCCTTTCGTGATTGCAAACTATGATCTCGATTTCCTTGCGGAGATCACGATATCTGATCTCAAGCTCCTTCTTGTACTGCAATTCTCTTCTTTTGAAGAGACTGGCCAGCTTTGAAAGCTCATCACATTCGCTGAACAATTCCTCCAGCCTGCAAAAGTAAAGCAGCCAGTGTATTTTGAAGTTTTCAGACTCCCAGGCATCGGCATTAGGATGCAAGATAATAAAAAAAATTCATTAAGGCTGATTAAATCATTACATATAAAGATAGACAAGAATCAGCTATATTAGAGACCACATCATCATTCACTCAGAGGATGTGTCCCTTAAACTACTGTCAAGGGTAATGGAGACAGTTTCAAATTTCATGACAATTGGATGGGTTATAGAGTGTCTCGGGTAGGCCCTCTTTGGCTGCAGAGAAAATGTGGGGTGGAAAGATGTTCTTTCCGAATGACGGTATGCATGCTCGCAGGAGTGCTCATTTCTCAGGGGCAGGTTTCCTGCTACTACTACCAAACTTTGATCCTCAAGATGAGCCACCTTGATTCAGTTTGATAGTCTTCCATGTGAATGATCCCGAATCAAAAAAAAATAGGGTGTCTTTGTCTCCCAGAACAGGCAACCCAAGTACCCAAGATTTGAGACTGCTTTCCTCCCCAGGACCAGTTTTCAATCAATGTCCCATCCCCCCGAACCAAAATCCCATTTAAGAGAAAACAATGCTGATACCAGAGGAAAAAGAACGGCTTGAGCTTGCGTGTGGACCCCAGGCCTGTTCCAAGATAGTCCTCAAATGATTAGCATGACTTAGCACGGTGAAGTTGGATTGGCTTGGATCAGCCAGGCCTGAGACAATCTTTGTCTGCCAGCATTGGGGTTAGGTGTATAGGCTGTGACCCAAGCTTTATTTAACAACGTTTGATCAGCCATTTGGGGTCAAGGGCCTCCTCTCCCTAAATAGAGCCAGGATCTGTAATTGACTGATCCCAGGAACAAATACCCTAACTCAACTTTCCGAAATTGGTTGACCTGGATTAGGAGCCATTTGATATATTTTGGTGGGGTGGGGTTCTGGAAGTTCACGAAAGGAATGGGAACGGATCAGGAGCTATCTCAGGCCATGTTTTTTCCTTATTTTTTCTTTGGGAGAGTAGGAGAAGTTGATACCTGCCTCCATTTGGTAAGCCGGATCAGTAATGAAAAGGGAGGAAGGGCTAGTCGTGATTGATTCCATGAACAGTGCCAAGATTCTCGGGATATAAAATCTCCAGTTGAAAGACCTAGATAAGAGAACTTACTAACTCCCCATGGACAGAATTAAACATTTTATAATTAAACATTCGTCCAGTGAGGAGGAGTCGCATTCGAAACAGAGGAGATACACAATAATCGAACACCCTTAACCAAATTCAGGTCAAGAGCGATGAAGAAAGTAGAATTTGTAACTGAGAGGTCAGTGGGCAAAGCCCTCTGACTTATTAAATATCCGATGATGCATATAGAGCGTGAAGGAAGGATATGATGTGGGCTGAGTAATTTTTCTTTGAACGATGGCGCTTAAATGATCTAGCGGTGACACGATTTTGGAAACAAACTCTGAAAGATAATGGCCATTAACGTGGCAATAAACGTGGCAATAAAAACCCACAAAGAAAAGATAATGACCATTGAGAGAAGGACCTGGAACTTCTCCTTTCAAGCTTTCGCAAGATGATCCTTTCCAATTCCACAACTGATCTTGACAACTCCTTAACAAAGACTACAATAGATTCCATCTGCTGAGTCCGTTCATCAACCCTTGCTGTGGCCGAAGATAACCTGTTTTCCTTCTCTTGGATGATGTTATAAAGCATTATTTTCTCTTTCTCTGCTTCCCTCATGTTGTTCGATGCAAGGGCAAGTTTCTGATTTAGGTTAAAAATTTCTGCATCAGATTGACCGATTTTTTTCATGGCCTCATCAAGCCTAGACTTCACCAAATCTGATTCCGCCCTGTAGCCCCAAAGTGATCTTTCTTGTTCATCTACCTGGGCCTTCAGCTTAGAAAGTTCTTCAGAATCTTGGTCCAGGTCCTGCTCTTGCTTCCTTAGTTTAGACTCTAAGTCTACTATGAGCATGTTCTTCTCTTCTATGAATCCCCGTAATGATACAAGCTCCTGACTTAGTTCCTCGGATCTTTTTACCTCCAATGATAGGGTAATATCCTTCTCACGAACCAAAGTTGACAACAATAAGACTTCTTTCTTCAGCTGCTCCGCCTTTTCAAGTTTTTGACTCAATGTCTCTGACTTTTTTACCTCCGATGATAATGCAATGTCCCTCTCATTCACCAAGGTAGACAATGATGCAACTTCTTGCCTCAATCGCTCCGCCTTCTCTACTTCCAGGTCCAAGGCCTTATCCTTTTGTGAGACAACTGCAGCTAAAATGTTATTCTTCTCCGCACACACCCTGATAGAATTAACCAAAGATCGGGCATCTACAATCAATCCTCCCAAAATGACACCATAAATGTTTTCCATAATCTCAGTCTCTGTGTGTGCATCTTCCCCTCGACACTCAGAATCATGAATCAGCTCACTCAAAATGCATGTATCTATCTGGCTTCTGATGAAGGTTTCTGTCTCTGCATCTTCGATCTCCCATTCGAGTTTCCTTTTCTTCTTCAAGAGGGTCTTCTCCAGTGAAGAATACTTTGTCATCCGCTTCGCTGCCTCAGAAACCTGTGAAGCAAGTCGATCCACCTCTTTACTTTTGCTCGCAAGCAAATCACGCAAACTTTTATTCTCCAACAGCAGCCCATCTATTCTTTGCTTAAAACTAAATGTTTTATCATGATCATCTTGAACAGCATAAAAATTCTTGGCTTCAAGCAATACCCCATCCAGCCTAAGACTTATATCTGGCAGCCTTTTCTTCAGCGCCTCCAGCTCTTTCTCCTTCTTAGTGTGCGAAAAGCCCCTTTCTTTGAGAAATTGTCGCTTCCATCTAAATAATTCTTCAGTTTTTTCTTGAATGGAAGACTCTAGTTGTCTCTTCATCTCGCTTATTTCAGTCTTATAATGGCTTATAAGCTCTTCCTTTGACAGGTGCAACAACAGGGAGGATTCTGCAATTTCTGGGGCGGTATTTCCAGACTTTTCCTCAGACACAACCCCATTTTCACCCACACGGGAAGAATCAGTAACAGCACTGTATCCATACAGTTTCCCGGATACATGATCTTTCTTCTTGCTATTATCCCATTCTTCATAAGATTCTTGCGAACCATGAGGGAGGTGGTGATGGTGCTCTGGTTCAATGCTCAACATGGACTTTGAAACAAATTTCAGTTCCTGGTGTAAATCTGAAATCTCCCCAACTTTTTTCAGCCAATAATCATTTTGAGCGTCGAAAAGGCTCGTCTGTTCGCACAATTTCGTCTCAAATCCTTCCCTCATTTCTCTTATGATGTTCTGTACAATGGCACTATCAACCTCCCTTTGAATCTCCCGCTGCCACTGTTGTTCATTAAGAGACTCCTTCAATAAAGAGCTCATTTCGCTGCTGTTTTTAAATATAATGCCCATTATCTCTCTCAAGGCATCAATGTTTTTGTCCATCTGGGTCAAACTCTCCAAGGACCTCCCTTGGCCCAACTGAGTACCCTTCAAAAAATCTGAACTCCTCATCCACTCAATTTCTCTCTTGAGCACCTCAAGATGCTTCTCCGCAGCAATATTAAGACTACCCATCATTCCATCATCGTCCTCCCTCAAACCCAAACGGGTGAATTGCACCTGAGATGGGCTTGCCCCCCTCAAACCAGCAATGGGTTCATAAAGTTGTAGTCTTCTGTTCAGCTCCTCAATCTGGGCTTCCTTTGAAGAGATTGTCTCCGCCGAGTCCTCTGCTATGGCATTCACTATGCCCCTGATGACAGAATTACCCACCATCCTCGAGACAATCAGACGGGAATTGATGTCATCCATGTACAGGTCCAAATCCTCAAGAAGGAGGTTCTCCATGTTAGCTGAATCAACATCACTATCAAGATCATGCTCACTGCTCCTTGGACTACAGCTGGTTATCATGGAATCATCAATGGCCAAAGTACTTCTTAGTTCCCTAGTGTCCACATTGGGCATCAGCCTCTGCAATCTGTAAATTGGATGACCCACTGTGAACGATATTGAAGATAGTTAAAAATGATTGATGAACATAGAACCGTAAAAATAGAAAATAATTTTGATTTTTTTAATCAACACTTGAAGGGAGGGTGGTGGTCTCCAAAAGAAACAGGCAAAAGTTATAAAAAATGTAGTTGAAATGCTCGAGGGTATGACAAAAATCCAAAAAGTATAACTACGATGGACAGAAAATAATTTTGGATCCCAATATCAGCACTTCAAAGAAAGTTCCTCAGCCAAATTTACAATCATGAAGTAAACATAAAAGAATATTTTTACAATACTTCCAGAAAGAGAAACTACGTCAAAGATAGCTGATTTTGAAATTTAACCAAAAACTTTCAAAGATAAATATTTTCAGAAAAAAAATATGGGGATCGGCTAAAATAGTCAAAAATCACAATCTTATACCGAATAACCCAGAAGAATCTAAAAATAACTGCAAAAGGGTAGAGCTACACAAAAAGAAGTTTGCTATGGCAAATTTTAAGTTTCGTCATGACATAAAAAATAAAAATAAATTAAAAAGCCATCCATGTGTAAATTTAGAGCTAAAAATAGCGACGAAACTAGTCATTATCAAACTAGTCAATCTCAGAAAGAAATCAAACGTGGAAGTTAACATAAAATACTCGAGACCAATGGACTCCCGTATCGCCAAATTTTGAGCGCGTAGCAAAAGCCATTATCCCACTGATGGAGTTCTGAATTCAATCCCAACAATCAAGCAATGCATGCCCAAACGATATAATTTTCATGAGAAAGGTCAAGGAATCATGGAAAAAAAATCCAGGAACCAAATACCAATCTAAAGTAATACGATGAAGAAAGGAAAGAAATAACCAATTTCGCCAGCCAGCCCAGTTTTAGGGATATATAACTTGGAGATTAAGTTAGAAAACGGGTAGAAACTGAAATGAACTTTTGCAGCAAGAACTCGCACTTCTTCGGACCCACCTACTTTCTTCTTTCCTGGCGAAAGTTCAAAGGGCGAGGGCTGTTACGGCCGCGCCGCGAGAGGTGCCGCGGCGTTCGAATTTCCCGCCAGGAGACCGTTGCCTTGCCTGGGCTCCTCCCCGGCCAGACTTCTCCACTAGTGAGGGGGAAAAAGGCGAGAACCTTTTTCCGTTCATCCGAAGAATTCGTCCCTTTTGGGTGTCCACAGCGTTCGTGTGAGTTCCTAGGGTTGGATAGAGAGAGAAAGAAAGAATGAGAGAGAGCGAGAGAAGGGGGGGGAGACCAGAGAAGAGTCAAAAAGAAAGGACAAATGCTGAGAAAGCACAGTGAGAGAGTGTCCACATTTGTCAGCGAGTTAAAAAAACAATAATAGTTTTTAGAAAACCCCTCTAATAGTGGTAATTGCTATGACTCCAGGCATCAAATGCACCAGTTTTCATATGAAGACAAATAACATATTTATAAGGTTATACAGATATTATCGAAAAAATAGAGGCTTACGACAATTTCCAAAAGCACGACTCTACGAAGTCAATGGGAGCGAGCGGCACGTGGGGGTTGGGTAGATCTGCTGGAATGGGTTTATTATTTACGAGAGTACCACTAATCCGAATCAAGTCCGAACCGCGAGCTGTCCAATGATCCGAAAATATCCACATATTCTGAATAAATGTCCTAAACAGGATTGATTCCTAAATAATTGTATTTACATCCTTAGATGATGCCAGTTACGTGTGCCACGTCATCAACCGTTCTCTCTCTCCTCTCATACCTTTAACTGCTCTCTCCCTCCCTCACACACTTCTTTCAACCGTTTCTGTCCTCTCTCCACGCGGACGAGGGAAGAGACAGAAAAAGAGGCGGCTGGCGGCGGAGAAAGCACGTGGCAAGGCGACTGCCATTCAGCTGACAAAGCAAGGCACATCTGACACGTTAGGCGAAGGCGCCGTCATTCACGTGAATAACTGCCACTGGCGAACCACATCGAAGCTGGCATCTCTCTCTCTCTCTCTCTCTCTCTCTCTCTCTCTCTCTGTGTCCAAACTGAGAGCAAGGCTCAATGTTGTCAACTCTCCTTATCTACTTTCTCACTCTCTCCTCTCCCTCTCCCTCTCCCTCTCCCTCTCCCCCTTCCCCTCTCTCCCCCTTCCTCTCTCTTCGTATCTCCCTCTCACTCTATCTCACTTGCTCCATCCCTCACACATTATAGAAGGCAGAGGCAAATATGAGGGGGTAGGCAAACATAGAGGGAGGCGATAGGATAATCATTTTTTATAATATATGAGATGAAATGTTATTGTTGAAGATACATGCGACAGAAGATAAAATCCAACAAGAACAAATTAACTTGATGTTGAGAAGTAAATTACATTATTAAGAATATGACAAACTTGGTTTCTAGATTTCAGCGAATATGATTTTTCAGTCCTTAAATATACAGCCATTTAAATCTAATGTTCCCAAAGGAAGATTCTTTTTAATAACATGGGCATACATCCATTTCCTAAAGTTCTCACATTCCATCAAATATTTTAATTTTGATGTTAATAATTCTAATGACTATGTAAAAAGCATTATTTTTCATAATAACATATCTTAAATTGGAAGGTTATGAAGTATCTAATCAATCTATGTTACAACATAATGAGCAACTTGAATCTAAAATCTATGAATTTATAAATTTCTTAACTACAGCCAAAATTGATAAAAAAATCATTATGATTATTATATAATTCTTCTTGTGCAACATTTACAGAATGAGAAGAATCATTCACCTTTCATATGATTTTATCTTAGACAATCTCTCCTCAAATGTCTGATCTTAGAAGACTCGACCTTCCTCATTCTCTTCACCCTTTTGCCATCAGCCCGTCACCTTGTATACCATTATAATTTGCCTTTTTCGATAATATTATAAAAAAGAAAATGTCACATCTTTACACTTAAGGATTTCTTTCTAGACAACAAGGAGTTCACTAAATGTTTATATGAGTATGAGAGAGAACAGAAAAGATATAAAACTTTGTCTTTATCTTCAAATTTAACTTTATCTCAATATATTATTTATGATTTGACTGAAAATATATGTGCTGCAAGATCAAATATTTCTGCCATCTTTGGTCCATATAATTTTTGCTTAAGGAACAAATTCATCCATGATTTTGACATAAATTGACTCTCTAATTTTGTCCAAATATTAGCCAGTGAATCAACATCTAAATATGATACATAATACTAGTCATAAGTCTAAAACATTGTAAGCAAGACATAATCTCATGTCACTAGTTAATTTTTTTCTAATTTTTTCAAATCAAGAACAAATTGATTTGAAGTTGAGAAATGAATTATGTTTTAAAAAGTCCAGTTCACTTGGTTTCTAGATTTCAGCCATTATGATTTTCATGTCCTTAAATATACCACTTTTTGTATCTAATGTTCTGAGGAAATATTATTTTAAAGATTAGAGACATGTATCACATTCCCTTAAGTCTCCACTTTTCCATCAAATATCTTAATTTTAATGTTACCAATCCAAATGACTTTGAAAAAAACATTATTACAAAAAGCACCATATCGTAAATTAAAAGGTTGATAAGTATCAAATCAAATCAAGTTTCAACAGACATGATACAAGAAACATGAATCTAAAACGTTAAATAATTGAAAAATCCATAATATGCATAACCCTCCTAGCCTATGCAACACTCAATCTTTGAAATTACATTGATTCTACATACACATACACAAATTTACTCAACTAATAGAGTTGTGTATTCAGCTAGTCCATGGGCTAAGATTTGGCCTACATTATTGTATGACCCCTATTTGACTTGTGCCTATACAAACATGTAGAAAAATCATGACTATATAAAATTATGCTGAAGGGGTTGTTGTTGACAACTTTTTGGTGATTTTTTATTTCTAAAAAATAATAATTATTAGAAGATAACTTATATGGATAAAAATAGTTTAAATATTATGCATGTACTGCCCATTGGCATTGGGAAGATCTTCTTTTATGGCATCTTCAGCATACCATGAAGGATGACTCTTTTAACTAGAGGCTTTCATTTCGTAATGATTGAGAAAACAAATATGAATGGAAAAAGTACGAACTCATTTATCATAAGTCAAGATGGGATAATATTCTCTTTAAACTAATAAAAATATGAAAATGTTGAAATAAAATAAAATAATATTATCTGCTTATGACACTAGCACGTGATAATATTCTTTTTGTGGCACCTTGACAATGTCATAAATGATGTTTCTTTGATCAAGAAGCTTATTAATGAACATGAAAAATCAAATTAATCAAATTTTCAGGCATCTTATTTCCAATTTAGCTCTCACTCTTGAGATAAGTTATTTTCTTTCATGCCCTTAGCCAATGAAAGAGACCTCCAAGTGTAAAGAAGACTACACATAAAAGGGTCACTTGTAATGCTCCATTAACTTCTCAACAGCATTGCCACATCAACCCATCTAATTCAGGCCATGGAGTACTCTAAAAAAGGCAACAAAGGTCAATTTTACTACTATCAAAATGGACATTATACCAAAAAAAATTTAATGATTATCCATGTTGTCATTAGTAGGGGGAAATGAGAGTGCCAAGTCATTCTCTAGTTGAATGATTAAAAAGTAATTAAAAATTCTTCAATAGGAGAGTCAATCCAGAATTTCATATCATTTGAGGGAGCATCAAGTAGACCTCCACATATTCAGTTTTAATCCTTGGTTTCCTTTATCATAGTATTGTGGATGCCATGCATTAGTTGGCATTATCAAGGATCAAATATCTTGAATCATGTTTATGTTTATACTTCCCCATTGACATAAAAATATACATATTTTGCAAAGCAAGGCCTTACGATAAATTCAAATAACATGAGACATTTTTGCATGCAAGAAAAATCTCTATATGGTGCCTTTGAATCTAGGGGAAGACCTCCGAAAGTGGAACCTTCTTCAAACAAGCCTAATTGTACCCAAAATTC